CGTAATTGCATAATGTCTGCGAAACTGTCTGAACGTTATTAATAGTTATGTTTATAGTGAATTTTTTTTCGTAAAATATCAAGTAATTGGGCGTTGCATGTATTTCTGTAAGGTTAGGTAACTTGACTTAGATTTTCTTTCTCTTATAATTGGGTTGAAAAAAAACCGGGCCTTTTAAAAGTTTCACATCTTTTCTAAGAGAATGCCTATTCATTTTCTAGTTCGACCTTCATCTTTCGGCTATTTGTTCATGAGAAACATTAGTGGCTCAAATGTAATATCATCAATTTAATTAACTTAATGAAGATAACCAGCAAATAATTGAGACAATTACACGAAAAAAAAATGGTAGACAGGTAAAAAGTTAAAGGTGCTAAGAAAACAAAAGTTAAGCATGGGAAGAGGAAATTTGACAGGCGACGATTTGCATTGCAACATATGTTGTAAATGTGTCAGTTACTATTGCTGCAACTCCTTTACAAGTGGAGTGTACTTTTTTGGCAGCTTTTGTGAAGCCACCCAACCAACAAAAGCGAAAAATGCTTAATTTAATTACAACACTTGCGTTCCGTTGACTGCTGCGACGATTGCCAAAGCCGCCGAACAGCGAACACTTAGACAATTATTTTCCATTGCCACATGTGGAGGGTAATGTGTTGCAAGCACAGAGTCCGACAATTTGCTGTTTGTTATAAAAAATGTAAAAATAATCTAACACAAAAACATAAAGAGGTTAACTAATGACGGCTAATAGGAAATGACTTGAAGCGGCTGTATTTTATTTGTTTTTTATAATTCTATTTATTTTCGTTTTTGGCGTGGCACCATAGATGCTTAGATATCGGGCCTGGCAACTGCAATTGGCAATTGTTTTTAATTTTTATACCACTGGCGGCTGTCAGAGCCGCAAAACGGCAAACGCACAATGCCCCAAGACCCCAAAGACCCTGCTGTCTATACCGAAGTACCATAGTTCCAAGTTGCGTCAGAGGCTGGCGGCCAAACCCAGACGCCAACATGCAACTGCATTGAAATTGAATAGGAATTGGAATTGGAATTGAAAATGAAAATATAAATTGGCGTAGTCGATGTGCCGGCGATGACTGCTGGAAAACGCCATGCCATAAGTCATGTTCGGGGAGTGGGTCGGATAATTAATAAGCGCTCCCAATCCGTAATACTCGTATGCCGTTGAGCAGACCCGCCAGTTTCGCCTCGCCAGCCAGGGCCTAACATGCATAATTATACGAGCACTACGAGTCTGGCACATCCACATAAGTGCACACATTTTCGACCATTCGAGTGTTATGCAAACCCATCACTAATTGTAATGATGGGGCGGGGCAGAGAAGAGAAGGTTGCACTTCAAAAATGTTTGGCGTTGCATGGCAAACTTCAATTAAAACGATCGAGCGAACAAGCAATGAAATATTCAAAGCAATTCTCAAACAATAATATTAAATGAAAGCTAGGCGCTCCACCGACATTCTTACGCCTTTATTATAAGCTAGTGTAATGAAAAATATTACCAAATCTCGCTGCATGCCCCAATATTCTTCTTGCCATCAGCAAGAGTTGCAAGAGTGCAACAACAAAGCGCAGGTCATTAAAAACCAGCCTTTGTGCAGCTTTTGATTTTTATTGCAATTTTTATTTGCAATTCCCTCGGTTGGAATACGAAAAGTTTACGATCGTTAGTTTATTGGGGAATTTTAAGCATTCGAGTTGGAGAAAACTTCAAGCAGATATTTCATGAACTGTGCAGAAGAAGGTGTATCTTAGCAATATACCTCAAAGCAAATAGCAAAATATTAAGTATACGTAAGCGGAATGGAAAAACACGGCAGAGAGCAGGAAGTGATTGTGCAAGGGAATGACGAAAAAAATCGATCAAACAAGTGCCAACCACTCAAGAAACTAAAGAAAATAGTAAAGAACAAAGGCTGAAAATAAATCTTACTACAGTTAAATTCGCTAAACAAACGTTTAGGCATTTGTCATGGCTCATCTGATTAATTTCCTTCTTAAATCCAACTATGACTTTTCACAAATAGCAAACGTTCTGTGATTTATGAATGATTTATGCCGCTGCCTGGATTTATGGCCAATTCGCCCGATAATTGCTCCGGTGTCAGGCAATCGGTGGAAATGCCAACTGTTTACCAGGTAGGAAGATCTCCTGCTGGCTGGTGGGAAGCCAAGGTGCTGTGTTGGCTGTCTCTAATCACTCGACAAGCCCAAAACCCTGCTGGCTAGTGTACTAGCAGCGGGCTCAAGTGGTGGGCAGCCTAATTGAGCGGCTCTGTCGCCCAGGCCAAGTGCGTTTTTCCGTCTGTCATGCCGCACAACGATGCTGGCTGCCATGATGATGATCAACCCAATTGCCATGGCGAGTAATAAAACTTGAGGAATCAGCAATGCGTGGCAGCAGCGCGGAGATGGCAGTTTGCGCCCACGACGGCGATGAGATGATTACGAGTATGTGGCGTTGATTGCGACTTTGGGAGACAGTGGTTGGATTCGCTGGAGCGCGTGGCCAAAATACTTGGCTTCACTGTCTGGGAATCATCACTCAATCATATATACTCGTACAGTACTAGATCCAGTGAAACTGAAAGAACAGACCACTGTTCCACGCCTTCCAAGAAGCCACTAGGCGCAGCCTGAGAAGATACAACTTCGGAGCAGTGACAGACAGACGCCTCGCCCGAGTGACAGGGAAGCACTTGTGTCCTAGTCTGTAGAGGCTATAGGGGATTGTGATTTGCATGTGTGTCTGCGAAGTACAGTGCATTGGAAACTCTTTTATTGTTCGGCTGACTGTTTTCCAGGCCGTGGGCCAAGAGGCCAGATCTCCGAGTTAATTGAGCAATAAGACTCAGAAATCATAAAGCCAATCGCGATGCTCGAATGGATGACGGTGCCCGACATTGAGCTTAGTTTTTCTCCATTTTTTCCGTTTGCTGTTTTCGTTTTTTGAGTGACACTCAGCCGACGTTCGGATTGTTCGGTTTCAATTTCGTGGTTGACAATGGATTTTGCTATATAATTACACGATCTTCAATGCGACTTCTCCACCACTTCCCATGCTTTGATGTTCGCCACGCTCCACAGGCAAGTCGGCCAAAAGGAAAAAAACAAAAAACAAAAAACAGAAAACTCCACAAAAAATAAATGGGAGGAAAAGTGCATGGCGATTATGCAAGCCATGGAATTATGAGCTATGCTTCCTGGGCCCCTCTCTGTTAATTAGCTATTAAATAATGGAATGGCCCAGCCAAGAGCCGTGTCATGTGAATGTGGGCCAATTTTCATGCTTCATTTGCAATGATTTTGCCATTAGCCTGACCAACATTTCCGACCGCCGACAAAACTCCATCGCTGCCAGTCTGCATGCAATCAGCAGAGTTATATTTCTTTCGGTTTTGTCTTTACCAGCTCACCTCTCTTACTTTTTCTAGCTGGCCGAGAACAACGGAAAACACAGACAACCCAGTTGCCTGGTTTTGGCCCCCCACCCCCTCTATACTTGTACTGTTCATGGCACTCGCCGACATTTGTTTGATCAATAGCCATATATATGTGCTAAAGCAAAAGCAAAAGCCGGCCGACAAAACGGCTGCGAGGCAAATTTATGTTTATTGCATGTGAAAGTATTTTGCCAATCAATTGAGTTGCCGCCGCTCGAGAAACATTCTCGTCCAGTGAAAGCTTTTCACCCGGTTGACAAACGAATCTGCTAACAATGGTGCACTTGAAAAATAAACAACGCTTTTAATAGGTATTACGTATTACTAAAGGAAATATGGTTCATTTTGCAAACGTATAAACTTTCATATTAAAATACTCATGTGCCAAAAACTGACTGCTACTCTCTAAGCCGAAATATTCGTGAGTTAGCGCAATAGTTTTCTGTGTAGTTCCCGTTCCTTTTCCAGAGCAGATGTTGGAAAAAGGGGAAAACAAAATATATAGACAAAATGAAGAGAAAAACTACTTTTACTTGGCCCGGCCATCTGCGGCCTGTTCTAGTTTCGCAGTCGGATCAGATCAGACCATTGAATAGTCATGGCCACAGCATGATGATTGTCACAAATTGCTGCATCCATTGGTGTTGCAGCTACACATGTTGCTGGTTGCTGGTTGCTGGTTGCATGCTGCAGGCTGCATGTTGCTGGCGTGCAAGCAGCGGCTGCATTAAGCTGCACTTGTGTTACAGTTTTCTCCACGGGTCGCCGGCCAGCGGGCGATCGCTCTGCCGTGCACTGCAATTCATCAATCATAATTTGTATGTCATTCACTAATCGTTCGCACTGCACCCGAACTCCTTGGCCAGCGATTGCCCCACCAAGATGGTCAATTCAATTTACCTAAAGTAACGCAACGCCATATTTTCTCTCGACTAATTATCGATGGATCCCACTGGGGCCCTTGCGTAAAGCCCCTTGATAATGGCTTGTGGCGATGTAAGCTGATCTTGGTTGGGGCCTGGTTGAAAGTGCGGCCCATCGCACTTGACCATCGAAATCCGAAACAACAATGATTCATGGGATTTACTCGTCTCGCGCGTGATCATGGAGTATTGGTGAAAAGACGGTTGTTGAGAGTTGTAATTAAAAGCTTGGGAAAGTCTTATGTTAATTAATAGTCCAAAGAATATTTCACAACCCAAAAAGGTGTACAAATTCAATAAGAGCTCTACAAATGATTGCATTTTCATATTCCTTTGCTTTTTACTATTAATGGAAAACAAATTGGTTGGGAATTTGAGCTAACAGGTTGAGGCCACGAAAGATGACTGGCTAACCCTGAAAATGAAGTGATGGAAAAACAAATTTACATTTATTTCATGTCGTGAGTCTCTTGTCAATGAATTGTTTTGAAAATTCTACAAAATGTTGAAATAATGGAATAAATAAATCCTAAAATAAGATCTTTAGGAAAATATCTCCAGCTTGGAAGGTTTCGTGAATAAATGAATTCCTATTATCTTCTTACAGAATGAAGGCTTTGAACCTGCAACGCATGGCATCAGCAAAACGGACGGAAGCTGCATCAGCCACCACAGTCAGAGCAACGGGAACGGAATCGGAATCGGAAGCGTCAACGGAAGCGGAATCGTCGGGCACCACCTCAGTGGAGTCCTGGCCAGCGGGGCCATGGAATGCCTGCCGATGAGCAGTGCCGCCCATCACCCACATCTGATGGCGGGTGCGGCGGCGGTTGGAGCCGTTTCCGCCTCTCCCACGGCGACCGTGGTGGTGGGGGCCACGTATCCGCACCACCTGCACCACCACCACCTGAGCCACCACACGCCGTACAGCAACAGCTACGGGAGCCACCACATACACAGCGAGCAGACCAAGTCGCTGCAGGAGCTGCAGCACGAGGTTGGCGCACTGCTGGAGTTTAGGGACCTGGTCATAGAAACGTTTCCCGACCTCAAGCACAAGATGGCCTCCATGTCCGCCACGCCTTCGACGCCCACATCTTCGGTGGGAGCCATCGGTGGCAGTCACTCGGTGGGTGGCGGCAGCTCCTCGCTGGCCACCAGGTGAGTTAAAGTTCCAAAATAGTGTACCCCAGTGAAAACCATGCGTGATCTATAAATGATTGCTTATCTTTGCAGCAGACGTGAATGGGAGCCGGGCATACGAATGAAGCGAAAACTGTCGCACAAAGAACCGTCCACGTCGTCAGCGGCAGCTGCTCCTTCCTCAGGAGCTGAGGCGTCGTCCTCGTCGCTGACGCGCAGCCGTAGCAACTCGCACAGCGGCAAGAAAGAGCCAAAGAGCGGAGAGAACAACAACGGAAGCGTTGTGCAAGACTCCGGCTTCTCAACGGAGACCAGTTCCTCCAAGGAGGGCCACAGTGCCTCCTCCACCAACGGTGCTATGACGGTAGGTGCCAAAACTCTTTGTAATTCGACGTAATCAAACCATTACTAAATTCCTCCCTTAATTTCACAGGTGGCCATAGCAGCGAATCGCCTGAGCTGCGCGGAATCGGACGATGAGCTGCTCAACCTGCTGGACGTCATTCACCGCAAGTCCAATCGATTACGCGAGGAAGTGGAGCACTTGCAGAGCTACGAGCGCCAGCAGGGGGATGCTCAAAAGGCGGGAGGTGAAGGCCAGGGTGCTAGCAAGGAGGGAATGACAGCGCAGCAGTTCCGAGAGCAGGTGGAGCGACTAAATCGCGAGGACATCAAGCAGCTGCGCAAGGAGCGCGACCGTCTGCTGGACAAGTTGGCCGAAATGGAGGCGGAAACGCTGACCGGGCGCATTAAGGCGGCCAAGATGAGCGACCAGGTGGAGGAGTTGGTAGAAGTGAAGAAAGATCTCGAGGAGCAGCTAAAACTGGCGATGGCCCAGAAGCTAGAGTTGAGCTCGCGAGTGCAGCAATTGCAGCAGCAGCAGCAAAGCAAAAGCTCTTCTAGGTGAGTAAATCCTGCTGACTTATCTTTTACCCCTAATACTAACCATATTTTTCAATTTCAGCGCCAGTCAGTCGGATTACTCCAGTCAACGCAACTTTCTATCCTCAGCCACCACTGTGCTCTCCAATGGCAGCCGCCCTAGCAGCAACATTATCAGCAACAACACATTCCAGCCGGTCGTACTCGATCAGCCAGCGCAGGAAGCATTCCATCAAAGCCCAGGCGGTGATATTCCATTGAGAAAACAGCAACAGCAACAGCAATCTTTGGGACATCTTGATGGCATTGTGAGCACGCCCGGAACGCGCAACTCCAAATGCCGTCTGACCGACTCCAAGCGATTCGCGGCCATTCTGTTGGAATCGAATGTCTTGGAGCTGCAGCGGCACTTGCTCACCCTCACCGTGCAGAACCAGGTGCTGGCCCAGAAGCTGGAATCGTCCAGCAAGTCCAAGACGCTGCTGGCCAAGCGGCTGGACAAAAACAGCGAAGAGATTGAGGATCTGCGTTACCAGCTGACGGAGAAGAGCATCGAGCTTGAGGGCACCAAGGCTCAATTGCGGCTGGTGGAGTCCCGCCTGCAGGCGAGCAACAGCACCACCAACTCGTATCTGCATTCCTCGCAGCATGACTACGAGACCAATCGCTCCTCGGCTTCCACCACGTTAATGCTGAGTCGTCGTGGAGTTTCCGATTCGGTGGACTCGACATCGTCGGCCATGCCTGCCCCGCCAGTCACACAGATCAGTACGCCCAGCATGAAGGCCATGGTGCCGCTGGCCATGGATGAGCTGCAGCAGCACAGTAGCAGCACGGAGTCGGCGCACGAACACGAGAATCAAGCGCTTCAAACAGCCAACAGCCCCATCTCCCCCCTCAGTAAGACGATGATAAATGCAAGTCCCTGTCCGGTGGGAAGCAGTACTCCCAGTAATATAGCCGCCCGTGTGATGAGCATCAGTGTGGGCGGGGTGAGTCCGTTTGAGGCCATGACTCCTCCGCCGCGACAGAATGCGTTCCGAAAGTTTGGAAGTGCCAGCAAGCCCAGCAAGATTCCGCTTCCGGGCAGCAAGGCGGCGGCCTATTTTTCGGGCAAACCGCCAACGGGAAGACCTTCGACGGCGGGTCGATCTCCGCCATCGGCGCACAACTCAAGTAGCACCTCGTATGGCAGTAAATCCTCTCTGAGCAGAAGTACTGGAAACTTGCAGAGCCTGCGAAGAGCAGACACATCCGCCTCCAACCACTCATTGAGTACGAACACGAGCCGGAGCTCTACTTCCTCTTCGATTCCGCTGGCCACCACACCTTACTCATCCGGCTCGACTGGCAACCGCAGCCAGCCGACAGCCGCAACGACTCCGTCCCCGCGTGTGCTACAGAACTCGCCGCTGCCCAAGCTGAAGCGGGATACGATCAGCTCCAGGGTGCGTCACCTGGACTCCCTGTCACGTGCCCAGCAGTCGCCGGAGGGCCTGAAGGGAACCACCACCAACTCCGCCTCCATTACCGCTCAGCTGAGCTCGACGCTGCGCAAAGATCTCCAGCTGAGTGGAAACGGGACCGGAGCTCCCTATCATCAGCACCACCAGAACCACCAGAACCACAGGCGCAGTGGTCACTCGCCGGCATCCAACTCCTCCGGTAGCGGCGTGTCCAGGCGCTACAGTAGTGCCTCGACTGGGGGTTCCGGTGGTCGAGCCATCGGCCGTGATCAGGGTGAGGCCACCACGCCCACATCCAGCTTTGGCGGCGACAGTGATAGTGGCAAGGTACGCACTCTCAAATCAACATTTTTGGGTTGGTTCAAGTGAATTATTATAATACTACTGATAATACCGATACATACATTTATATATATGAATATCTACTGATTACCGTTTAATATGCCTTCGATAACATATTCGAAACAACAAAGAACCACTAGAATCATCATCTTCGTTACAGTTTATGAAATCAAATCAAAACGAATCAAATCAAGAACAGAAATCAGCAGCTTACGAGCCCGATATTAACTGCTCACGTTAATATTCATTGTTACGTGCATATAATTTAAACATACAATTAACCCACGGCATATATACTCTACAAACATATATACTACAGTTACATGCATATATTCGAAATCCAAAAAACAGAAACTAAAATGGAACAAGTTAGCGTCTCGTGCCTAAGAAAGGAAAATTGTTTTCAGCTCTCGTTGTTTGTCTTATTATTTGTCAAATGCGAAATATATAATTCAACAATGATTGTTTTTCCCATAGGACTATTTCCTATGTTATTTAAGAATGTCTGCTCTACTAACGAAAGCAAATAAGTTAACAATTGTTTTTTTTTGTAGTACATGTCTACAATTTGAATATCAATCGTACCAAGTCTTTTTTGAAGAACTAACAATCTGATTTTGTTGAATACTTATTGAGGACTTTGAATTTTCCATTACAATATCATTAACTTGTATCAAAAATATATTTCGTTGTATTTTTTATTTTGTTCTTTTTTTTTGTAATCCAAAACATTTCTGAGCTACTTCTTGCCATAGCAACGTCAGCTTTACGAGATGACCCAGAGTAAAAGAGATCCCAAGCGCTTGACAAATCCATTCTTCAGTCCCAGAATGGTCCACACAGCTCACTAGTCTCAACAGTATGCTCGACTTTCCGCACCCTAGAATACAGTTTCAAGACCCTGCTGCTTTTGCTTTGGGTTTGGGTCGTTGACTCAACACTTGGCTAGTGAAAGGTGCATCCTATCTCTCCTAAACTCTCACTGCCTATCGATGCCTTAGGTGCTCAGTAGCCGGCTTTAATTAATCAGCAATTTCACATGCAACTGCAGCAACAACACTAGCAGCGGTGGCAGCAACAACAGCAGCAATGTTTCCTCTATATAGTTATGTATATACAAAGAAAACGAATTAAAAGTCAAATGCATGTACAATATCATTTCATTTACTCATATGTTATGCAAATCACGATTATGTGTGGCGTAGTATGCATGCCTCTCATTGTTGGATCAGCCAGTTTCTCATTGTGTTCGAAAGCGAGTTTAAGCATAATTATTAGTTTGCGTGTGTATTAAAAATGATTATTATTACTATTGCTTTCTTTGTAATTAATTTAAGATATACTTAAACTATTATTGGGCTAATTTAAAGGCTTATTTATTAATTTGTGTATGAAGCAGACGGGCTTATGCGTATACGCTATAACATAAAAATATAAAACCGATTATATAGAATATGACAGACTTTTCTATTTATTTCTTAAACTTGTAAATGAAAACAACAATTTCTCTTGTATTACAATGACAGAAAGACTTGCCCTAAGTTAGAAAGTGATTGCCAGGAAACATATCCCATTAAGAACCTGCAAGAAGTTAGCTTTTATCGTATGGCTTGATTGTGTTTGAGGAATAGTCCTTCTTATCATCATGCGGTCGATAGCTCATCCGAAGATCCAATTAACAACACACTCATATTCATCCACATTCATCCACCAGGGCAAAAACACCGTCGACAGCATCGAGTGCTTTGTTTTGGCTTTGTTTGTGCAGTACAAACCACCCAAGAAAGAATCAAATTAGATGATCACACTTGAAATAATTTGTATCTAATGCTGTAATTTCTTTTTACTTTTACTTTTTCTTTCTGCGCCTTTCCACCCTGTTTGTATGTCTACTCCAAAAACAAAACAAAAAATTTATACTGTCTGTTGTTGTCATAACTCACATATATACTCGTATTTTGTATATCCGAAAAACTGACCGAACCAAAAATATCCCCGCAAAAACATATAAAATACGTATGTACATAAAAAATGTCCAACCAACCAACCAACCAACCAACCCAAAATCCCAAAAACCACCAACAATCCAAAATGTAACTAAAAACATTGTGAAACCAGAAACAAGCCACTTATCCTAACAAACGCCAGGCTACACAGAGAAAATAAGCATCGGAGTTGGTATGGATAGCAAAGTTACCCATATTCGTGGACTAAAGGTGGTGTACTGATTGACTGATTGATTGACGTGTTGGTGGTGAATACATAGATTTCGAATGCATGCCAAAAAAAAAGAAGAAACTTAAAACTGAAATGCTAAACATGTAAAGCGAGTGCGACTGGAGTTTTTGGTATCGGACAGCCACAGATAAGACCGGTGGCCAAACGAAAAGGAGCAGCGCCCTCGCCCAGTACATCCTCCTCAGCTCAGATCAGCTCAGCCCCAAATCCAGCTCAGATCTCAATCTCGAGCCCTCTGTTGTAAATCGTTTGTCTGTTTTGTTTTTGGCCAAGAAGCAAAGACAATGAAGTAGACACTTTGCCGCCAATCGTTATACGCGTAAGTCTCTTTTGTTATATCTCATCTAGTAGGTTAAGTTCTACCATTTCTCAAATCCAAACCAATCCACAAATCCCAACACCGCCAACCCCACGGCTTTCTTTTGCTTTACCCCACACTGAGTTACACCAGCAATGGTTTTTGATTTCGATGTAGTTCGTTGTAGATCTAGCCTACCAAGACTATCTAGACCTAGACCCTCACCCTTTCTACAATAGCAAACGGGCAGTGCGCACAAAAAATAAAAACACAAACTTTTAAAATTGCCAAGTAAGGTAAACGAATTGAGTGACTTACCCGCTGTACATAAACTGATTAATTGGTTGATTGATTGATCGCCCACTGTGCTAACCAAAACTATATACATATACTTATTGTGCCAGAGGTTGAGGGATCTAACCGCTGTCCAAGAGATCGATTCTCCCGCTACATGCTAACCCCAAAAACATAAATATTATATACCATTCTTTTCGTTAATGTGCCTAAACAGCCGTCTAAACCCCTTTCTTACTGCTGTTTGTGTTTGCGTTCTAATTTCCATTACCTGATTGCACATTGTACCAAAGAAATGATATGCTATTCTGTTTTTCTTTGCTCTCCCCCGAATATCCCCAAAAACGATGCTTAGAATTTGGCCAACACCGTTGAAAAGCCAAATTTCCGTCTCAATAACCACAATTGGCAACTATGGCAAACGAGCAGCAGCAGCCAGGGAAAGGTTCAAGTGGAACGATATCTGCCCCATGAGCTGCACGATGTGTCCGAGGAGACGGCCTACGATTCGTACTACACCGAGTATACCACCCCCGATTCCATGGACTGTGGCAGTGCCAATCTCCTGGTCACTTTCGACTACGGCTACAGTGACTCCATCGAGGCCAGAGCTTTTTCTGCAGCTCCGGACGAGGATGATGGGGGCGAAGGCGCTGGTCCTGACTATGGCGATGGTGATGGTGATGGGTGTGCGGACGAGGTGGATGCCATCTGGTTTGGTACTCCGCCCAGGGATACCAAGGACGAGAAACTGTTTGAGGTGCATCATGTGCAGCACAAGCTGCTGGATGACAGCCTGCAGTCCTTGATTTCCTACGACGTTGATGATTTTGAGGAGGAGCTATCGGAGCCAGAGCCGGATGAAGAGATTTTCTATGATAGCATTGAGTGTGTTTAAGAGCTGCTGGGTGCAGGTGTTTAACTATCAACAATCATATCTAAACTAGTCCTTATTTTCAAACCCTCTTTCACGCGTTGTTTTGCAATTATCGAAAGAAAATGGATAAATATGTGTATGTAGCTGTAGTTAGTGTTACGTGACGAATATAATGTTGATTTAAATATATTTGGTTTAACTATCCAACGGCCCTGAAATGATCGATTGTAACTGAAGTGAATTGTGACTGAATTGTATTGATTATTGATCGTAATGTTTGTTTTCTCCATTAACCATTCAGGGCTTTAGTTTATACGTAAATGGTTTCTTCGACTATTTATTAGTAGCGTACAATGTGTGCGCCTTACCCACTACTTTGTATGTAAAATATTATTTAGAGTGTGTGCATCTTTGTAAGAGTCGTAAGTTAGTTATCCTGCACCATTGCCTATTTACTCAAAACTACATTTAATTGACTCGTACCAGGCCGGCTAAGTAGTTTAGTTGTTAATCAAATTTAGTTAACACATCGCATCTAATGTATGTATGTACAGTTTGGTATACTATCTTATTATGTATGTATTCTATTTAAGTCGAAAGGCAATTGTAATAGGCTCTATCTATCATGTTATCACGAAACTGCGTTTACTACATTTATAAAACAAACAGACATAGAAGTGTGGGAAACCAACATTTATGATTCATATTAAAGCTAATAATAATATATTCAAGGGCAGCAGATGTAGACATGTATCCATTTAAACAGCAAATGTAATTGATAAACACATAAACGAAAAAAAAACACTAAAATAAAAATTATAAAAAATACATTCCCGAATTAGTTTTTATTGAATGTGTTGCATTGTTTCGGTAAGTTCTGCGACTGTAAACATTTTAATTTCCTAAATGAAAAATCTCAATTAATACATACTTTTCCTTTGACGCACTTGCATGTACTTGTGTATCAATCAATATCAATCCAAGTTAACCCCCAGCCTGCTGTGCGGCTTTTCAATGGCCGCCAAGTGGCAGAAATTGAAGTTAATTGATAGTCAAATTTTGTAACTGCAGTGCAAATTTTCAAACCGCCTTTTTCACTCGAAACGTGAACAAGTGCCACTTTTTCGAATTTCGCATAATTGAATAAGAGCGCGAAAGAGTTCGAAGAAAGGTATACTGGGCTCTCATGTAAGCAGCGCTCTCTTATTGGTGGCCCACTGGAGCACTTGGGTTTCGAGACTGGGTCTCGGGCTCAACCAGTTGGCTATCTGCGCTCCGTGTCAGCAGAGCATACGAATCCGGAACGGGTTTCGCCTGCGTTCAGTAACCCCAGACCCTTGAAAGCGTTTAGCTGGGGACTAATAAACAGATTTTGAGAACCTGCTGGCGATTAAACGCCTCCATAAATGTGGGATTCCTCAGATATGCGCTTATCACAGCACTGCGAACGCCGCTAAATTTTGGACCGCTGAAGGCTGATAACGGCAGCATGGATTTCGAGGAGATTCTGGCCAAGTGCGGCAACAACAGTCGTTATCAGTTCGTGCTGCTGGCGCTTTATGGCTACCTGATGGTCGTCATATCCATGCACTATTTCTCGCAAAACGTCATCAGTTTTGTGCCCGATCATTGGTGCTATCACGAGCAGCTGGAGAACCGCACTTTCGCTGAAATCGAGGAGATATATTCGCAGTTCGAAAAGCCCTCGTGCACGAGACTGGAGAAGATTGATGAGCATGGACAGAATCACACGCTCAGTACGGAGCGCTGCAATCGGTGGATCTATAAGTACGACTTTGGGTATAAAAGTATGAATACAGAGGTGGGTGAGTCAATTCCAATTGCTTTTCCAAAGTTCATTGAAAATGAAATGTTTCTGGCGCAATTCTCTAAAAATCTGCATTTAAACTTATAAACTGATTTTTTTTTATTTTTTTTTAAGTTTTTGATGTTATGATGTTGTAGCAATTCAACAAAATTAAGAAATGTCCCAAGGATGAAGTTCTGAACTCCATAACTCAACTTATCCTAATCGGATTTTGAAGTGGCATACCTCTAAATGTTTCTGGCGCAATTCTCTAAAAATCAGCATTTAGATAGACTATAGATTTCTATCTTGTTTTCATTGCTTTCATGTTTTAGCTAAACTGGGTCTGCGATGAGGCATATAAAGCACGAGTGGGTCAGTCGCTTTTCTTTGTGGGCTCGGTATGCGGTACTTTGGCTTTCGGCCTACTTGGTGATCGACTAGGACGCATAAAGGCCTTGATTTTGGCCAACTGGTGTGGCTTCTTGGGCGATTTCTCAACGATATTCGCCGACAGCCTAACTTCGTTCTCGATTAGCCGTTTTATATCCGGATTGGCGGCCGATGCCAACTCCTATCTCATGTACATACTGAGTAAGTAATTGCATGGCGTTGATATTCAATGACTACATTAACTGGTGATTTTCGGCCAGTTCTTGAATACGTTTCACCCTCATTGAGGAATGTCGGCCTTAATACAGTCTTGGGCAGTTTTTACTGTCTTGGTCTGATCGGAGCCTGCTGGCTAGCCGTTTGGGTGGGCCACTGGCGCATCTTCCTGGCTTGCTCCTCGGTTCCTCTGCTGCTGGTTACCCTGTTCTACTTCCTCGTCCAGGAGAGCGCGCAGTGGCTGGTCACGCGAAACGATGTTGATGGAGCCATTCGGCGATTGCAGCGCGTGGCCAGGATCAATCGCCGCCAGGTGGCCGACGAGGACTTTAAGGACTTTCGCAGCTACTGTGAGCAGCACTATCGCAAGGATAACGACAGGGAGGAGCACGCAAAGTTGCTGGACATGCTGAAAACGCCGCGCATGCGCAGCACAGCACTCAAGCTGCTTCTCATTTTGTAAGTGAATATATGAAGATTATTATTATTTATTGAATGACTTCCTTTGTATTCGTAGCATAATCATCGTGCCCTGCTACAACGTCATCGCCCGCAATGTAGAAGGTCTGGGCATTTCGCCCTTCATCATGTTCTCCCTGAACGCGCTGACCCTGCCGCCCTCGGGTTATCTACAGGGTCTGCTCCAGGATCGGATGGGACGCAAGGCCACCTCGGTGGGTTGGATGGTCATAACTGGAGTACTTGCGGTCGCTGCTGGTCTGGTGATATCGCAAGGAAGCAATCAAAATGTAGTGCTGCTGGTGGGTCTAACTATGGCGGCCAGATTTGGGGTCTCCACTGCCGATGGTGCCTGTTCCCAGTTCTCCACGGAACTAATCCCCACCAGCGTGCGGGGAAGCGGCGTGGCAGTGGTGCACGTGGCTGGATTTGCCGCCTCCTTCCTCTCTCCGTATATCCTTCACCTGGGCACCTACTTCAGGCCAGCTCCCTCGATTATTTTGGCCCTACTCTTTCTATCCGGAGCTTATGTGTGCCTGCTGCTGCCAGAGACTCGCAATAAAAAACTTCCAATGTCCTTGGCCGAAGGAGAGGAGTTCGGGCGGGGAGAGGGCATATTTGATTTCCTCAGTCAAATGCTTAAGAGGAAAGGCAGTAAATCAGAGGTTGAAATGGGTCCCACGATTGTGGAGGAGGACACTCTGATCAATAAACCTGCTTAGCAGTAAATGCTGTCGTTGAATAAAATATAAGTAATTCGAAAACATATCTGATTAATTTGCATAGCAGCTTAACATTCTTATCAGTCTAGGCTAAGAAATGCGTCACACTTTGCATAACCCGATATGCAGTCAAAAACTATACAGATTTTATGGTATTTGAATGTATTCATCAGATCTAAATTGGTATTGGAATGCGCTGAATAGTCACTCCACTTTGTTAGCACCATCAAAACAGTGCGTATAAATTAGCAGTAACATAGTTGTATATTTTGGGCAGAAGACTGGCGATTACAGCCATGATATGGGAGCAACAAAGACGCTTATCAACCACAATAATTAAATCACAACTTATAAGTAAGGATCGCATCGGGCATTTCAGTGCGCCCAGTTGACTCGCCCACTTATCAGCTGCGGATAGGGCACAGCAGCAGTCGATTCAGCTATTCAACTCCAATATCAGTTTGCCGCAGCCGCTTTCACAACGCGCTCTTAACCATTCGTTGGAGGCGTTCGCGGAGCAGAGCGCTGGCTACTGCCAGTGGCAGTATGTGCGTGGCAGCGGAAGAGAGCGGACCGCCACAAACACGGATACTTTGACGTCGCCCACGTAGAGGCGCATCTGCGGACATGGCCATGGACTTTGAGGAGATACTGGTCAAGTGCGGCGACTCCCACCGCTACCAGTACATGCTGTTGGCTCTCTACGGACTGCTGATGTTCATCGTCTCCCGCCACTACTTCGCTCAAAACGTCATTGGGTTTGTGCCCGATCATTGGTGCTATCACGAGCAGCTGGAGAATCGAAGCTATGCCGACATAGCTGCTATTTACGCACCGTTCAAGAGGCCATCGTGCACGCGACTGGCCTCGATCAACAAGGATGGGAGCAACGCCACTGCCAGCGATGAGCCCTGCAATCGATGGATTTACCACTATGACCATGGATTCGTAAGCATGAACGCTGATGTAAGTCCCTGCGCGGGCGCCACTTAAGTGCACTACATTTGCGAGCATTTCTGTTGTTTACAGCTGAATTGGGTTTGCGATGATGCGTACAAGGCACGAGTGGGTCAGTCCCTGTTCTTTGTGGGGTCCATGTGTGGCACCCTACTGTTTGGCCTACTTGGCGACAGGATCGGACGCATCAGGGCTGTAGTTTTGGCCAATTGGTGTGGCTTCCTGGGCGACTCGGCCACCATTTTTGCAGAGAGCCTGGTGACTTTCTCGGCCAGCCGGTTTGTATCCGGATTGGCTGCTGAGGCAAACTCCTACCTCATGTTTATTCTGGGTATGTTATCATTACACAGCTCTTGCACTTATCTAGTCTTAACTTTCCTCCCAAATGTAACAGTATTGGAGTACGTCTCTCCGAAGATGCGAAGTGTGGGCCTGAACCTGACAATGGGCATCTTTTACTGTCTGGGTATGATGGGTGCGTCCTGGCAGGCCGTCTGGTTGGGTAGTTGGCGGTCCTTCATGGTCTGGACAGCAGTGCCCCAGCTGCTGGTCACCGGGTTCTACTTTCTGATCCAGGAGAGCGCCCAGTGGCTGGTCACGCGCCACGACAGCGACGGAGCGGAATTGAGGCTCCGCCGTGTGGCAAAGTTCAATCGGCGCGATGTCAGCGAGGCGGACTATGAGCTATTCCGTCAGCATTGCAAGACGATGCAGTCCGTTGCCAGAAGCCAGATGTCCATGCAGAAGCAGGCACGTCTCATTGACTCACTCCAGTTGCCACGCCTGCGTCTCAGACTGATCTACGTAATGGTTGTCTTGTGAGTAATTCAAGCAAATTAAGTTTTACAAATTGAACTTATATTAACAAATTTTCTAGCTCGATAGTGACGCTTTGCTATAACACGATGTCACGCAACGTGGAAGGTCTTAGCATATCACCGTTCGTCATGTTCAGTCTTTTCGCCCTGACCTTGCCTCCATCAGGCTTCTTTCAGACCCAAGTCCAGCAGCACTTCGGTCGCAAGTTTACCGCGGTAGTCAGCATGACGGCCACTGGATTGATGACCGCGGCCACAGGGGTTCTGTTGACCTTCTGGACGCAGCCCACCGCCACGGTGATGGTGTGCCTGCTGCTGATGTGCCGGTTCGGGATCTCCGTGACCACAGGCGCCACCATGCAGATATCCACTGAACTAATGCCCACCTGTGTGAGATCTAGCGGTCTGGCGGTGATCCATGTAACCGCAGCAGCCTTGTCCTTCATCTCACCCTTTATACTCCACTTGGACAACTATTTCCGGGCAGCATCCTCCATCATTACCTGTATTCTGCTCCTGTTGAGTGCCTGGATTTGCCTGTTCCTGTCGGAGACGAGAAACAAGAAGCTGCCTATGACATTGCCGGAGGGCGAAGAGTTCGGCAAGGGCGAGCGGATGTTCGACTTTATAAGAGGTTTTAAAAAGGAGGATCCACACATTCTCAGCGCTGGCACCGACGAGAAACTAATGGGGGATAAGCGTACTTACTAAGTAGGTGCCTAGTGTAATGCCAGGATTTGTTACTGTTTTAGGATAGTCACTGATTGCATTTAACTGTGTTCAAAATAATTTATTTAAAGCAAAGTGTTAGCCCGGTAAGGCCTGTTCGGTGTTAATTAGGTTTTTGCAAGGTACTATTCCTTATAATCAAGCATACAGTTATTGCTATTCAACTTCATATGCTGAGCTTTTATAGTCCTCTTTATCTATTCTTGCTGTCTATTTCATAAGAACATTATATGCATATGCCTCAGTACAAGATAATAATAGTTATTGTCAGCAGACAATAATAATGGTTAATAATTACTGCTATCGTTTGCTTGGATAAGAAAAGTTAAGTCATAGTGATAAAATATATGCAAAAGTATGGAAAAATGGAACAGCCCGCATTTAAGCTTAGTTATAATTGGATTTCAAACGCCTTAGAATATTAGTATTAAAGCCTAGAACTGTATAGTTACACACATAAAAGAATTTCCCCTAATGCGAGGGTATATAAGTATTCGTGCCGGCGATTCTGTGCTGCCATTCTAGCATTTATCTAAGTGCACTCCTGAACTCGTGTGGGGAAGATCGGCGATTCGAGCTTTTGGTTTTATTAGGAGTCCACTGAACTTGTTGTTCTGTGTTTGATTCGTATTTCAGAGGTCACGCAGAGTGTTTATCTAGTCCAGAGAAGGCTTTCCGCCCCGTGAGACGCCGGCGTTTGTTTAGATTGGAGTGAATGAGTGAATTCACTTAAATAATAAAGCGTCTGCGTCTGAGCAGCCCTAGCAGTCGTATAGGCGATAGGCCGCACCATAACAATCTTATCGCTGATGGAGGTAGACTCAATGTGCGAATCCGGCCACCTAGCACTCTTTTCCCTCGCCTCGGCTGGAATCGGAACGCTTTCGCCTCGGTTCGGATGGGCGGCGTTTAGTCTTAATAGAATCTCAGCAAGAGCACGTCATGGATTTCGACCAGATCTTGGAGAAGTGCGGCAATGCGGGTCGCTATCAGTACCTGATGATACTGCTGCTGGGCTACATAGCCTTCACGACCACCGTGCACTACTACTCGCAGAACATAATTGGGTTTGTGCCCCAGCACTGGTGCTATCATGAGGCACTCGAGAATCGCAGTTTCGAGGAGATTGCCGCCATATATGCCACATTTGGCAAGGAGGCCTCCTGCACCCGACTGGATAAGATCGAGGGCGACAGGCTGACGGTGAGTAATGAGACCTGCCAGCGCTGGATATACAACTATGACTTTGGATTCAGGAGCATGAATGCAGAGGTAAGTTTATCAAGAAAGGGGTAGATTTCCCAATTTAAAGCAGTATCTTTGATCGACCAGCTGAACTGGGTGTGCAATGATGCCTACAAGGCTAGGATCGGACAATCTCTATTCTTCCTCGGCTCCCTGATAGGCACCTTCACCTTCGGCGTCCTGGGCGACAAGATCGGCAGAGTGAGAGCCGTGATCCTGGCCAACCAGTGTGGATTTGTGGGCGACTTTCTCACCACCTACGCCTCCAACTTGGTGCAGTTCGCCATCTTTCGGTGCATCTCTGGTCTCGCCGCTACAGCCAATTATTATCTGATGTTTATTCTGGGTAAGCACTGCGAGATATCGCTGAGGAGGAGTGTAGATCATGGAAAAGCTGGTGCATACATACATACGTGTAGAATTCAGAGTCAACAACAGTGCGTACTCCTTATTGCTTCCTGGATTTGGAAAGCTTTCTTTTTGTGCCCCATGCATAATTTCAAAATAATTTGTGATATTTTTCGAGAGGATTAATTGATATCAGGCATTGTCTCCTTGTGAACTCGCGCACTACAGTTTATTCCAAGTAATACCAGAAATTCGTTGATTATGTTTTATAGCTTTTGGATAAATATAAAAAGCTCCTAATAATCTTTTTCTGGCTTTCCTAGTTCTGGAGTACTTGGCGCCCAAGCTGAGGAATATGGCCATTAGTGGAACCCTGGGCATTTGCTTTTGTCTGGGAGCTCTGGTGGCACCCTGGCTTTCTGTACTGGCCGGCAACTGGCGGATCTACCTGACCTGCTCGGCCTTGCTCCAGTTGGTGGTGGCGCTGTTCTACTTTGTGGTGCAGGAGAGCGCTCAGTGGCTAATCACACGGACCAATGTGGAGGGGGCCATTGCCAGGCTGAAGCACATTGCCCACTTCAATGGGATGGAGGTGAAAGCCGCCGACTTTGAAGCCTTCAGGAGGAAGTGCATCGTGAAAAGGAAGCTTTCAAACCAGCCGGAACAAACGGCAGGCATTTTCGATTTACTGCGGACTCCAAATCTGCGAAAGATATCGCTGCTGGTGGTATTCACTTTGTAAGTAATGATATTACTTATTTATTGTTTGGTATTCACAAATTGGTCTTCATAGTATGCTGACTTCGCTGAGCTTCAATACCATCTCTAGAAATGTGGAGGGCCTGGGACTCTCGCCCTTTGTGGTCTTCTCGCTGTTTGCGGTGGTCGTTCCGCCATCTGGATTTATCCAGGGACTCCTGCAGAGCCGAGTTGGCCGCAAAGCCACTGCCTTTTTGGCCATGCTCTGCACCGGACTACTGTCCTGCGCTTTGGGCGTGGCCCTCTCCACGGAGGGCGCACAAAAGAACGTGACCTTGCTGCTGGCCTTCGCCCTGCCCATGCGGCTGGGCATCTCCATGTGCTACACGGTCACCTCGCAATTCACCTCCGAGCTGCTGCCCACTTGTGTGCGCTCGCGCGGAATTGCTGCAGTGCATCTGGCTGCCGCGGGAGCCTCCTTTGTGTCCCCCTACCTGATTCATCTGGGCACTAAGCTGGCGGCAGCTCCGTCCCTCATCCTGGCGCTGCTTCTACTTACCGCGTCCGGATGCACTCTCATGCTGCCGGAAACGAACAATAGGTAAGAGTCAAGGTATTTGAAATGATGCCATGTTGAAGCGCCTTTTCGCTTCTATTCCCACAGGCAACTGCCCATCACATTGGCTGATGGAGAGGCATTCGGGAAGGGCGAATCCATGCTGTCCTTTGATTGTTGGCGTCGCCACGATGACGATGTGTCCAAGGAAACCATCGAAGAAGTGAGGCTGCACCAACTAAAGGGACAAGGAAAATCCGGAACGGACGCGGAGGTGTAGAGTGAAACCCAAAGTATTTCCCCACAGACTTTAATAACAAAGCCCAAAGGGTATTAGCAAAAGAAGTGGACACGGTAGCTGCGCAAAATTGTCAGTAGATGTGAAGTTTGCTTTATTTTATTGATTCACTGCTGTTCACAATTTATACCACTATTTTAGCTTAGCAACTTGTATTGAGCCAATTTCTTGAGTTCATCAGATTGCTGGAATCGTGTGTGTCGGTATTGTTGCCTTGTATTTAGTACTTACTTGTAAGTAAAGGGGTCATAAGTATCTTGTATTTTGTAAATGGTTATGTAAACTCTTGTAATTTGTAACGCTTAAATGCCATAAACATAACGGCTACAATTTGATCGCTTCATCCTGCCCCGATTGCCATGGAAAATCTTACAAACTCTAACGTACAACTTCTCGGAATCTCAATTGGGATTTCCGCATTGCAAAACTGACCGATCAAAGGTCGTTTCCCTTAAATCTAAGTGTAAAGTCCAACGCAGACATGGCGAGAAGTGATTTAGGGCCCCTGTCGCAGGTTGCCAGATAATAACATTTGAAACTAGAAAGGTTATCTACCAACTCATTAGCTTATTTAGCAAAGAAATAACTAGACTAACAGTTTCACCTCAACTGAGCTTATAGAATCACTGAAAAACCATATACACGGGCTCAAAATATTGTTCTCAGGGCAGTACAGGGATATAAATACAATCAGTGTCAGCTGTGAAACAACTTGGATTAATGCTTTTAGGAAGGCAACCGCAGCGTTATTCATATACTCTGCTATAGCTATGTATATTTGTGTATCTTATGTGTGTATTCGCTAAAAAAGTTCTACATTAACGCAACGTGTGTATCTTTGGGGGATAACCCTAACCCTAATCAAACATATCCTTGTTCGGGGTTAATATTCAAAATGTATCTTTTTCTTTAGGTTTTTCTATGAGCAATTCTGGCGAACGCTAACAAATACAATGGGTACATAAATACTTCTGATATCAATATCTGTAACATTAATCTGTGTAATTGGCCGGGCATCCAAGGGGACGCTTCGGAATCGTCAAAAACGTTCTATAGAAATCACCTAACTCTAGGGTTTCCCGTTCTGTGCGAACTGGGACTAATAACAAATACTCTCCTCGTCGAATCGCCTAGTACTACGGTATGCGACCGGAGTGCTCACTGCTTGTAAAGGTGTTATAAGTAACGTATCTCAGAGATGTATATGTATAAAGTAGATAGGTGTGACGTCGGTATCGCCTCCATAAACATGTATGTATAATCAACACTAGTTCACAATAGTTCAGTTGAATCCGAAATGCACGTACACAGTAAAAAGGTAAAAAGATCTCTTATAGTTCTCCCGCGACCTGAGACTGAGTACGGAGAGTACTCGAGTATCCTATATACGACTATATATAGCACCATCTCAGTGAGTAAGTGGATAGGTTAGGATCGGGGCCGATTGTTAAAACACAACCTGCACTCCTTCGGCGATCCCAAGGTATGTGATATTCTTGATTTAGGTGGTAAGTACATATACGAGTATAGTAGTAGTAGAAAAATATACATGTAGTACACATTGAAACTTTGGAGACCTTAGAGGGAATAAACTATAGCTACAGGTGTGTGTATATGTATATTAGGTGTGGGTGAGTTGGGTTCCCAACAAAATGTATGGCTAGATTAGGGAGCCAACCAACAGCAAACGCTTTAATCTTAGATTATGAACTATTTGTGGGTAGAACAAATATCTGTGTGTATATGGTGGTTTCCTACTTGCGCCTTTGCTATGCTACTAAATACCAATTACTTTTGCAATATTTGCTGCTTATTGTTGACATTTATGTTGATTTAGAGAAAGTATTCTATGACCGCACTCAACTGCCGCTGCATTTTCACATTGATTCATCAGCTTCGTTCGTGGCGAGCCGTGCTACCAAAGTGTTTAAATTAATGTATGTATGTTCTATATCATGGATCATCACCGAATTTCAGGCGTGTGCATTTTGTGTGTTTCGAAAACATCGAGTATAAAAGACAAGCGGTATTTAGGCAACGAGTGATTCAGCAATTTTCATTTATAAAAAACATCTTCTATAAATTTTTGTCAAGTATCATTCAACGTTAAATATTACTTTGTATTATCGGTATTTACCACTTACACCAAAAGCATTCATAAGACTCGTTTTTGTATTCTTAAAAGTGATTTCTCTGAAACAATTCATCTTATAGAGCTGCCCTACGACCTAAGGGCTATTCATATATGTATATGCCTATATAAGTCCACAAAAATCAGATTTGGAGGGTGGTGAAATATTTGGCTGCTATGGGAATTGATTGATTCATTGATTGCTATGGTGGGTCTATACCTTTTGCAGGTAGTTAGTGGCATGAAGCTTAGCTGGATTTGCACAATGTTCACGATATGTATGAAGTCAGGATAGATATATGCATATAGCTTAGAATGCAGCTCGCTTAAGGTCTACGAAACGAAAGAATGGAAACAAACCAAAAATGTTGAATTTACAAAAATGTTATTTGTATTTTTCGGGTATTATGGATAGTTATACATAGTAAGCTTATGCCTCGATTTAACTAGGGTTTAACTGTAGTGTTTATCTGTAGTTTTATCGTAGTTTAGCGCATATAGTATGCCAATTGCGATTGCCTCTCAGAGGGGAGAGGTGGAAAAAACACACACATACAAACTGTCTTACTATATAGACGGTCCAACCTTGAGACCGCATCGTTTCGCTTTATAGTTTTTTAACTTTTATCTTCATCGAATAGCTGAGAATTGCGCTTACAATTAGTGCCATAAGCTTGATAAGGTTTTTGCTTAGTTTCTCTTGCCTTGATTACTTTGTTTTTTGCTTTTCCGTTTCTGCGGTACTTGCAGCGTCATTGCGTCATCGCGTCATTTTCCGACGTATTCGAGTATTCAGAAATACAGTATTCATCATTCCACACTCTTAACACTAAATTGTGAAGGTTGCAATCGTTTGTTTTCTTATTCCGCTAGTAATGCTTCTCAGAGTCGACGTGATCGTTAATTGATAATTATCGCATAATTAATACAATACAATGCAATGCAGGATGCCATTGGCAATTCTAACTGCGATTTTGTGGTTTGTCCTGGTCCTAAACTACTTTGGCCTATGGCAAATTGGCCCGAATGCCATCCAAACTGGAACGCAGCACCAAGCTGCCCTCCACCCAGAAGTTCGGCCGATCCAACATGTTTTGCCACAGGGAGAGCTCCTTTCCAGTGGCATCCATCCATTCCACCTGTCTACCATAACTGCGACCTGTTTCAGATGAACCACTTAATAGAATTTCAGTTGGGGATAAGTAACCAGAACTTACCGGTTCCCAACGAGAAGCGAATGCCGCCAACAAACTCATTGCTGGCCAGGCGATCGTGATCCCAGACGGTTAGCTCCAAGGCGCGTTCCGACAATTCCTCCAGGGAAACATCCTCGTAAACAAATGTGTAGTTCCAGCTGGGATGCAAGGTGCGCTTCACTACCGGCGTCTTTTGCTTGGAGCTCCTCGTCCGATCGGGCAACAAATAACTGGGGAATATCCATTACGGTTAGCTATGCACGGAATTGTGAGTATTAATGGTTGTAATCACCTCTTGCAGAAGGCGTCGCAGGTGCCGTTTGCCTTGATGGGACTCAGGTGCTTGGCCTCCTTGACCAGCACATGCAGCTGGCCGCCCTTTGAAGTGCGCTCTGATTTGGAGGCCACCGACTTGATGCTGCCTCCAAACTTGCGCAAATTGGAGGAGCTGCCTGTTATAGAGGAGCCGCGCGAGAAGAACGAGGATTTGATGTTCTCTGGGGGAATGTACTTCAGGCCCACTACTATGTCGCCCCGGTAGGTAGCCACCTCGTCGAAGGGTTCGCTCTGAAACGATTTGGGAAATGTAAGTCAAGGAACGTTTATCTTTATGTCTATATTCATTCGAACTTGTTTTAATGCAATAAATCAAGAAAATTGGCTTAGCTACTTACGCGTTCTTGGAGGAGGTACCACTGCGACTGGGGATTGTCGAAGAGGCGTCCCTGCAAATTGACACTGACTTCGCCCAGGAAGTCATTACGCCCAAACATATCCGAGTGCCAGACGGTGAGCCACAATGTTCGTGACTCCAAGCTGGAAATGGGTGTGTGGAAGCGCATCGTCTCGTCGAAGATGGGATTCAGCGTGTGCTTCTTGACTTTGGTTTTGCGCTTGCCAGCCTTCGATTTGTCGGGCAGTAGATAGACCTAAATCGGATTAAACCGAGAGATAGTGAGATACTTTGATTGGGGAATTGGTAAAATAACCCACCTTCACATAGGGATCGCTGCGATTGCGTTTGGCATCCACGGCAGCCAAGTCCTTGCAGCGCACCACGTGGATTTCCAAAGCACTCAGCTTGTAGTTGTACTGCATGGCGAACTCCACTTGGCCCTTGACCACCACGGTGCCATAGCGACCTTCTCCGGCGCCCGAGTAAACGCTGGCCATTGATTCCGATCGAACCTATAATGGGGTAACAAAATGGTTTAGTTACTCAGTTTTCACCCGGGCTATTTGTGGGATTCACTTACCCCCAGCGAGCTGAGACTGCTGCGGTTCTGATGCATGGCCACCAGCCGATCGATGTCCTCATCCGACTGAGTGGGCCACGTTTCGCTGGAGGCACGCGACTGGATGGGACTGCCCGATCCATCTGCCTGCCGTTGTCCAATTACCGGCGATCGTGACAGTTCCTCGGCGGCCACTTTGGCTTCCTCTGCAACAAAAGAGAGAGAATTCATCAATTAGCAGTCGAGTTTTCCACAATTAAGGCTAATGATCTATGTGAGCTGATGATTAACGACCAGAGTCGATAGATGGAAAATATTTCTTAGATGGAAAATATTTTTAGCTCCGCTAATAATCATTGTTTCTAAGGTGCCCCTACTGGCACTTTACTTTAGGCTTTAGTGTCATATACTCGAAATATAGTGCTTTGTAGCGTGTGGCAATTTTAGCTGCATTTTATCTGTTCGATAAAAGTATAGATAACTTCCATATCGATAAGTCCCATTACGTTATTCCCTTGAAGCTAAGAATAAATCGTTGTGCTGGTGCAATACAGGAGGTTATCTGCGGGGAGAAGCAGCTTGAGGCGTCGGTGCAAGGAGCATGCAGTTGGTGGCAGGCAGAAGGAGCAGTTGCCGCCTACCTTGCACCGCCACCCGTTCCTGCTCATGATGATCCTCCCGCTCAGATTGCACCTCCTCGCTTTCCACGAAGGTCACATGCAGTGGCGTGCGACGGTGCAGGATTAATGAAGCCCTGCCCCCAGAAGCAGCAGCAACCACTTCCTCAGACGAGGCTGGCAAATCATCTTCCAGGGTCTCCAGGAACCTATCCGAGTTGGACCTCAAACTATCGTCCCAGGTCCAAGCTCGTCGCTTAGCTATGGGCGGAGATCGTAGCTGCGTGGGTAGCTGCTTCACTTGCTCCTGGGGAACGGGATTCGGTGTCTCTTCAACTAAACTCTCACTTTGGCCGCTGGCCGCCGCCTCGCGTTGTTTCATCTCGACAATGTAGGAAGCCACCTTGGCATCGATGTCGTCATCTTCCTCCTCGGAGTCGTAGCCGTATCCATTGGTTCGCCCTCGGCAGCAATAACAGAAAAAGGGTCTTTTCTTTGGCTTTTCCCTCGAGCTGCTCCAATAGCCCTGATAGCTCCTCTGGCGTCGTCGCTTCTTCCTCCAACAGTGGCCAAAAAGCTGACGCCACTTGGACCTGCGCTGCAGTTTCTTGCCTCCATCCTCAGACCGATTTTTCCTCATTCGATTTAAGGCTGCATATTGAATTTTCCCAGCCGAGCTGGAGGGCAGTGAGGAGCCGGCTGGCTGCGACTTCACTCTGCCATAGTTGTGCACTCGAGCCAGTGGAGCGGGTGCAGCCGCAGCTGGCTGGGATTTCTTGGAGGAGCTGGTAGCGGAGGTGAATGCATTATAGCTTGGGGCTTCTTTCGGCTTCGCGTTTGCCATTCGCCGCGGGCCAATTAAACGAGTCACTTGCTTCATTTTCTCGATTTCTCATTTCACAATTGCGCGTTTTGGTGGCAAGATTAATTGGTGACCGCTTTTTTGGTGTCATCCGCAACCGACTGCAAATGTTTTATATCACTTTTTATATCACTTTGCCGATTCCGCCAGTTGACAGTTGTCATCTAATGGGTTTCTCAATCCCCTACACTGCGCAATTCGAAAGGTCTAAGCCGTGGTTTTAATTGGGTACGTACCTAATTTATTTTTATTGCCATTAAATTATTAGTTTTGAGTAATCGAAAGGTTTCCCCTTCTATCATTATTTATCATAGCAAACAATGATTCCTCTATTTGCTAAGATAAGATATTAAAAACCTGTAGCAAATAGCATTTGCACAGGGAAAGCTTATAGAAATCGTTAGGAAACGTCACGGATAGTAAAACTGATAAAACCCCATTTAATGGAAAGTTTTTCAAATTGCATTTGCCAGAAATCAGACAATAAAATCGAGCTAGATATCAAGTGCTTGTCTGCTTTATTGGGGCTGGTATTTCCGCGATGATAAAGTAGGTCTTAATATCTGAGATATAGTACAGCGGAAAACAGTTGGTTAAATAAATATTTTTAAGAAATACGACATGGATTGTAGGCCCTTAGATAAGATGCCTGACAACAAGCAATCTTTGGTCATTCGGACACGTAATTGGATCACTTGAGTGCCGATTAAGAGGCGCTTATCTTAGATAGCTGGCACCTGGGTCATAAAAGCATTTGCATGGCCCACCGTCAGCAGTCAATTTAATTATGCCGAAATGTATAGCGGCCCTGAACTTGCCACAGCCTTCAGGTGATGGCCAAAATGAAGGCGCGAAATCGAAGGGGAGCAGCAGGTTGGCAGACAATCGAGGCAGTAAACCTATAAAAGTGGGTCAGATTACACCCAGAGCTCTGGAAATGGCCTAGTGAACCGAAGTTGCACTTAACCAGAAAAGTATCCATTAAAACGGCTCAAAGGGTCGTCAAATTGTTCGCACTGTGCTTTGGAAATTGGAATTTCTTTTATGCAGTCACGATTTGTTGACAAATATCACCGAACCGACAATGTTTGCATTTCGTTTTCGCTTTTTTATGGCACTTCTATAATTTCCGCAATATAAGCATAGCACCCAGTAAACGTGAGCGGGAAGGCCAAGCCCCAAACCCCAAGCCCCAAACCCCAAAACCCCAAACAGCTAACAAGCCCGAAAAAGCAAAACAGCTAATACCAAAAACCCAAAGCGAAAACCCGTCGAACTAAGAGTCAAAGTGAGCGAAACACTTCACTTTCACTGCCAGCAAACGGATCGTTGGACTTAAGATCGGAATTCGCGCCGCCTTATAGAGCACATCGCTGCGGCGGAGCTCCAGTCCCGTTACGCGCTTCGAATCAACTGATCCGGAGACGGGACTCAGTGCCAGAACCCCAGAAGCCCAGAACCCCAGAACAGAACATGGTCAGGGCGACCGCAAAATCCAAGTTTTATTCAATTATTCAAATATTGAACTTTGAGGTCGCGAGGGGCGCCTCGCCAATGAAAATGCAATTAACAAGAGCGCACGATCATCAATCGCCAGCAGAGGGTTGATCTTGGAGGTTTGGTGAAGAGAAATTGTGAACAAGCAATTATTTTAGCAACGCGTAGAAAGTTTCTATCAAATATATCTCTAATAATCCATTAAGTATCCATGAGCCCGTGTAATTAAATAATTTGGGAAATTAGCTCTTGCCTAGTCTTGAGTGTACGATATGCAATTATGTACGAGGATTATCTCACGAGAGTTATTAGGGCAGTTTTGAACTAAGCCCTTGTTCTGAAAGGTGTAAATCTCTCCTCGTCAATCCATCATCCATCATCCATTTTCAGTAAGAGAGGGACATTCCTCTCGCATTTCTGGCTATTCTGTCTCGGCTGTGGGGCAGAAAGGTTAATTTAATTAGGGGCCAGAGTGAACCGAGATCTGTGGTGGCTCCTTCGGTTGGTATCTTTTACAGGGTGATCTCGAGCTGGCACTGCGATTCGCATTCGAAACTTCCGTCATGCGGCTGCGATAATTGCAAGTGGGTTCGATTTGCATAATTGTGGAAATCGTTGCACTGCAATATTATTGTTGCATGCAGTTGGGATTTGTTTTTGGTGCAAAACACTTAAACGGCTGCCGGATGGGCACGGACATCGTGGCGGGATGGCAAGTGGACGTGGACACGGAGCACGGACCACGGACCACGGACCACTTCCGCACTCCGGCGGTGCAGCGATGCACGAAACTAGATGGGGAAAACGTATAATTTCCAGCGAACCTCTTCTGGCGGCGATGTCACCTCTCTTGTGGGCTCAGAAACATTAATTGTTGTATGCAAAATGGATAAGTGAAATAAATACAGGAAATAAACAGGCATAGCTCTTTATCAACGTCCACATCTAAATAACGAATGAGTGTACAGAAGTTCAATACTGGTTAAGAGTTTCAAGAGGGTTGCCTATTTAATTGTGTTTCGGCGCAGACAAACGAGTTGGATGAACTGGAAATAGAAACGGTGTAAACACAACTGTTTTAGAGATGACAACGTGAAACAGCTGGCAGAAAACCTTGGTGGTTTCTTCAATGAAATTCAACTGCTTTGTGTCTTTCGAAATTGATAGTTTAGGTGAGTTCATACATTTCCTCAAGCAAAAACCATGTGCATGAACCTTTTATTAAAATGTAATATATATTTTCCACGGCTTATGTGGGGCTATGAATGCTTAATAGCTTATCTGCGGCTTAATGTGCCGTAACGCTGAATTATCAAAAGAAAATATAAAAGGCATGAGCCGAAATACGATTTCTCTTTTAATGATTAATATGTTTTCCTCGATTTTAAAATGCATAACTACGATTATGTATGTGCTTGCGTTCTTAAGAAACAGTAGGCTCATTACCCAACGTTTTCGGGTTATTTTCGTGTGATGTAGGTTACTTTTGGTACTTGGTTTTTAGCTCCACCAAGGAGTGCCTGGCTTATTCAAACATCCCTTATCCCCCATCTCTAAGTGACACAGCAGAGTTCAAAGCCCGCCTGCACCTAGGTTTTTCGAGTAGCGAGCTCCATTGCGAGTTCCATTGACCAAGCGGCATATAATGGTTTGCCACGAAAACAGCTTTTCGGCCAAATAATAGTTGGAGAACAGCAAAAACCTACAATCGACGCCCCCGCCAAGCGGAACAGAGCCACATCCACATCCACATCCACGAACCGCTCCACACATCGAAAAGCACTTCCCCATACATATGTACATCCATACATCTGGAGGCACATTAGCACACTCTGACTACGCAACTGTGCGAAAATCGCTTTGGACGCTAACTGGAAACCGAGAAGCAGTTGGCTATGAGTCGGGCGCTTATATGGATACAGTTAATTGACCTTGATTGAGTTTATTTCGGCTAAGGCAGCTGTCTGCTAGCCAAATGTCTCCATCCCATTTGGTGTGAGTGTGTATCTGTGAGTGGGCTGCTCGGGAGGTTCAGCTACATCAACATCATTATCATTATGGAAGGCCTGTGGGAGGAAGTGGCGCATTCCCGAGATTCCGGCCACAGCCTAATCAGCATAAAATAGTTCAGGGTGCGACTGCCTCCATTCCAGATTTTTCGAAAATTTTACCTATTCGTAACTATTATATTAGAACCTTGTGTTGCCATTGCTATGTATTTTATTTTCCAGTGCAGACCTCGCCTTAAGGTTATCCGTCTCCCGCTCGTCTAAGGATCGGATTCCCCCAGGACTTCTATGGCAAATGCCCAACTTCCTTCCTTCCACTTGGAGTGAGGAATTTTTCATTAGGAAGGAAGCAGTTTCATGGCCAGTTATTTGAGCCCCCCGGCTGAAGCCTGTGCGTGCCGCACTAGAAACGCAACACCCACCCACCCGGCACACTGAAGGTGTGGCCACCACCCCCGAGGTATGCAAAAGATAAACATTGGGCATTGAGCAACTCACCAGCTGACATGTTGAGACGTTTGCGCGCATCGCGTTTGGAGTAGAGGAACTGGAAGCCCGCGCCTAGTTTTTTGCCCGTGGAACCACTGCTGGCCCCCACACCAACAGCACCACCACCACCAGCACTTGAGCCACCTCCTGCCCCACTGACGGCCGCTGCTCGTGCCGCCAATCCCGGCGAGCGATACCGCGCACTCTTGGCACTGCCAGTGGCCGAAACGGTGGACAAATTGGAGGGCGTGTGGTTGAGGGCGCTCTGAGACTTTGTCTTGGGTGTGCTGGTTATGGGCGCACCAACACCGGTGGTGGGTAAGCGGGGTAGTGAATTCGTGCTGGCCACCACCTGGTTGGGATTCAGACTGCGCGGCAACGTGGATCTGGCGCCGCCAAACTGATGCGAGGCTGCCTCATCGCTGGAGTCCGTCTCGTAAATGGCATCCGGTACACTGGAACGCCGCACATCCTTTGTAGAATCACCGCCAATCGAAGATCCCGCGGAGGAGAGCCACGGCTTGGCCGGCGAGGACTCCAACTGGTGGTGATGGGCATCGCCGCCTCCAATGCTGCCGCAGGATCGAACGCGGTCCAATTGCTCGCGGCTCAGGCTCTGCTGGTGCTGGCTGAAGAGAAGGTCGCCTGCCGATCGGCGCTTTGCCACAGCCAAAGCGGACGCAGACGACGAGTTATCCCTGTCCAGTTGGCTCAGCTGGCTGAGCCTCGTTCTGCTGTCGCCATTAGCCAGTAATGCCGACTCAAAACTGCCGCGCCACGAGAAGCGCTCGTAGTCGCTGGCCACGCCGCACTCCTCCCCAGCGTTGTCCGAGTGCCCGGGTCCGCCGGATCCTCCTGCTCCCGATCCCACTCCGCCGGCCGGGTAATGCACGGTGGCCTGGTGGTGCAGGTGGTGCGCGTGCGGCGCGGTGCCGTCCAGCAGGAGATCATGGGACCTGCTTCGCAGCTTCAGCTGCTTGATGGGCATGGCTCTCAGTTGCTCCTCCACCTCATCTTCCTCATCCTCCGTCGTGGTGGCCGAGATCTTGGCCTGCAGTCTTCGATGGTGCCGCTGTCCTTGTGGCGATGGAGTGGGTGTTTCATTGCCACTGCTCACTTCGTGCATCAGAGCTACCAGTCTGGTACCAATATGCTGCATCACCTTGGCAAACAGTTGCGGAGATCTTTCCGTGGACGGTTCTGTTTCCTCCACCGCTTTGGTGGCTTCTGTTTCAGGTTCTCCACCCGCTGCCACTTTGCTAAAGGAAGCCACCAATTTCTGATACACCAAGGCCTCCATGGGCACACTTTGGCTCTCGTCCAGCAGTCCACCATCGCCACGATCACCCTCCTCGTCAATCTCAAACTTGTTGATGATCTGCTGACAGCTGGCGGAGATCTGGGCCTTTAGTTGGCCCTTCCGTTCACCGCCCTCCAGGTCGGAGCTCGTGTAGTCCGAGGAATCGTAGGAATCAGACCACGTATCCTCACTGCTCAGGTACTCCACTATTTCGCGCACCTGCTCATCATTGATGCCCGGCACGGTCTTCATCAGTCGGGTCAGCTCGTTCTCGAAGTAGGCCAACTGCGCTGGGCGGGATTTGGCCAATCTGCGCTGGGAACTGGGTGTGGTGCTGGCATTACTGGTGCTCGCCCCTTGATTGGGCGTGGTGGGCTTGCTCTGCTGTGCATTGGCGGTGGCCACGATAAGGTTCTTAAAGAACTGCCGCATCTTGCTCATCATCAGGTTGGTCTCCTCGTCGGAGCTCCAGTTGTTGAAGCTATCTTTTCGCACCAGATTGGGCAGGGCAAGATTTTTCAGTTGGCTGGAAAATGTGCTGGCTAGCGCTGCAGCTGCTGAAGTGCTGGGCTGATCCATCTTGGCCAGACTAATCTGGCTGTGGACCGGCTCCCGATCCTCACTGATTTGCTCCAGAGCTGGCGTGGGGCTCTTGGGTGGCTCACAATCTGGCGCCGCCTTCAGGAGATCATCGTTGCTGCCCACAAAACCACTGTCCCGGCTGTGGTGGTGCTGCTGTTGTTGCTTTTTCGCCTGCGACTGCATCTGCACTTGACCACTGCTGCCCGGAGTGGGTGTCCGGCACTCGGAAGGCTCCAGATCGTGTAGCTTCTTTTCGTCCAGAGAGTCGTGACGCTTGCGCAGTTGCTTCTTGCGCTTAATGGTGTCCGAGGAGGAACCGTCCGAAGCTCCGGCATTGGCCAAATGGATCACAGTGTCGTCGCAGCCCGCCTCCGATTCCGAGGTGTCCTCCACAGTGGCTGCAGCTGCTGCTCCCGCAGATGTAACTGTGGCATCCAGGGTGTCTGATTCTGGCAGGAGCAAATTATCCAACGATGAGTTGTGACTTCTAGGTGTTCCCCTGGCTCTAACCAGCCGCTTTCTCCGCTGACTGGGACTCGGTTGCCCTTCACTGTCGCTGCCTACACTACCGCCGCTCTCATCGCTCTCCGCCTGCTTTTCTGCACCACTGAATCCCATGAAGCCGGAGAGGAAGTACTTTTCCAGCCGGGAAGAGGCCAGATCGGAAGCTCCACTGGTATCCAACAGCTGATCCTCATGTGGCAGGGAGTCAAGACTCTCGGAGCACTCGGAACTCACTTCGGATGCAGTGTCATCTCCGCGTGTATCAATGGAACTCATTACTCGACCATCTCCCAGGCCAAAGAAGAAGTACTTCTCCAGTTCAGAGGCACTTAGTCGGTGGTGGTGCTGCAAGGTGCGCTGCCTCCTCCGTTCGGCTATATCCTCATCCTCCAGCTCGGCGTCTTCGTTGTCCGCCCGCATGGAGGCCACCTCGCTCTCCTCGCAGCTCTCCTCGACGATGGTGTGCAGGGTGAAGTCAATGGCGGACCTATTGTATCCCCTCAGCTCCTCCTCCCGATCCATATAGCCATGTCGCCGGGCTCCCTCACTTTCTCCCTCCGCATCCTCGGAGTCTGTGGCCGTGGGTGTGGTGGTGGCGTTGCTCAGCTCCTCGTCCTCATCCTCGCCTCGCTGACTCAGTTCCTCCACCCAGGAGTCGTCATCCGCCAGGCCGTCCTCCACACTGGGTTCCGGCACAGCAGGCGGCGGTTCGTTTAGCGAGTCCACACTGTACGCTTCGCGATCGCTGCTCACGAGTTCCGTTGGCTCCATGGCGCGAAATGAGTCACCCGCAAAGTTCTGGCCAAAAGTGTGGCTGTTGTTGCTGCTGTTCGGGCCTTTGTTGCTGCTGTTGTTGCTGCTGCTGCTGCTGTTTGCCATTTCGTAATCGCCAGCTGCACTTTCATTGTCTTTGGTGATCATGACCAAACTGCGATACTTGGCTGAAAGTGAATTTTTGGGCGAAGCCAGTTCCCTGGGCGTTGTTGCAGGTGTGTCAGATGTCGCTGCTGCCGCTGCTGTTGCAACTGCTGCTGCTGCTGCTGCACTTGGAGTGTTTTGCTGATGACTACCAAATATTTTGTCGAAGTCACACTCGTTTTCACCGCTCACATTTGAATTCACACTCACTACGTCACTAATACCGCGGCCGACAACAACACTCGAGCCGCTATTTCTCGTCTTTTGTGCTGCGAAAGCGTCATTATTATTATGGCCAAGTTCGCTGGCGCTGTCGTTGTTGTTAGTGTTTTCGTTATTGCTATTATCGTTTCTGTTGTTGTTATTGCCGCCGAGGAGCGCAGCACGTGAAGCGACCGCAACGTTTAACATTTCATTTTCGACTGGCGACTCCGCCGACTCCCAATTCGCTCCGCGGCGATATCGCTGCTCGCGAGCGGCGCCAGGTAAGCGAGCGCTCTCTTCTACCTGCTGGAGCGACTGCTGCCGCTCAGGTGCCAACAAACTCGCCGAAGTTGCCGAGAGTGAATCCAGCGAGTAGTCACTGTTGTCGCTTATTTTGCATGCTTGGCTGCATGTGACGACCCTCTCCTCGGTTTGCTCAGCTGTTCGGCCATTCCGCTCATCCAGCAGTTTGCCATCGGCGCTGGTTGCCTCTACCTGCCGCAAGCAGGTGAGCCGCGCCGGGCCAACGTCATTAGAATTTAGCACGGTCGAGGGGCTTTTCCGAGAAGAAGGGCTGCTGCATTCGTCGGGTTTCCCGGCGCTACCTGGCTGCGCTGTACAGTGGGTGGCAGCCACATCAGTGCCCGTGTCCGTGCCCGTGCCCGTACCCGTGCTCGTGGTGGACAGCTGCAGATCCTCATTGATTTCGGCCACTCCCTGGCGCAGGCGTTGGAGCTTGAGCTCCAGCTGGGAGTTCTGCTTGTGCAGCGCCAGCAAGCGATTGACATCGTTCGAGATGCTGTGCAGCTCATCGCAGGCGGCCAGGGCATCGCTGGCGTCTATCGCCTGCGCTTGGCGGCGCTCTGATTGCTCCCCGTCGAACTCGACGTCTGGCAGCGATCGCATGTGGTGCAGCACCACGCCGGCGGCGGCGTCGTCCGTCTGCCCGCCCACCACTACAATGCAGTTGGCCAGCTCATCGCTTGAGTTGGCAACACGGCGTTCACTTTCATCATCATCATCATCGTTGATGTTGTCTTCGTCACTTGATTGGCAATCACGTGCAGCTGGCGGCGCCTCCTCCGCCTTCTTGGGCTCCTCCTCTAGCGGTTTCACGTAGTTAAGCACAATGCCACAATCCGTGCGCTCGGTGTCTGTATCATTGTCGGAGGAGTCCTCCAAATTGGCCTCCGAGGAAGACAGTGAATCCCCCTCGGTGGAGGAACTGCGTCTCACCCGGCCACCGGGCTGTCGATTCACGACGAACACCTTGTTGAACCTCCTCCTCTTGGGCCTGCGATCGCGCACCGTTCCCGTATCATCCGAGTCACAAGACTCCGAGCTGGAGCTGGAGTTTGAGCTGCTGCTGGAGCTGGAATCGCTGGTGGTGCTGTGGTGGCGCTGCTCCACTGCCTCCACCGCTCCCAGCTGCTGCTCCTCCATCACTCCCGCAACATTGTAGCTTCTTTGCGTGGTCCTACGGGGCTTGTGCTCCGCCTGCTCCTGCTCCGCCACCTCGCGATCCCTGTCCTGATCCGCATCCTGACTGCTGGTGCTGCTGGCCTCGTCGGGACTGCTGGCCGCGTAGCTCTCGCTCTGCAGATGCGCCGCTGTCGATGGTGATGCCTCATCGGACATCTTGATGTTGTTCTCTATAAGTCGATTGGAGGACAAATTCTTGGCAGTCTCCGCCGTCGCGCGCTGCTGATCTATCTGCTCTGGGTGCTGGGCTCTGGGTTTGGGCTTGGGAATGGGAATGGGAATGGGACTGGCACTGGCACTTTCAGCCACATTTCCAACAGCATTTTCGACTGCAAGTCCGCCGAAACGAGTTATTATCGCAGGAGCCGCAGCTCTAGTTGCTGTTTGTATTTGTGCTCTTGCTGTTGTTGCTGTTGCTGTTGTTGCTGGTGGTGGTACTTGATTTTTATGTATATTCGTTTCGTCTGCTGCTTCCACTTCTTCGTGGCTGTTTTTACTGGCCAGGTAGGTTTGTGTTGTTGCCCCTGGCTGGGTTTCGCATAGATTTCGGCTCTGGTATTTGCTGGCCACTCTCAGAGCGGCTCCCTTTGTGGATGTCGCTGTTGCTGTTGCTGCTGCCGCTTCTTTTGTTGATATTGCTGCTGTCGCGGCGCTCTTATCTACACTGGCAACATGTGCCTGAACGCACTGAGGCACTGGCACTGGCACTGTGCCGGTTTTATCATAAACATTACACAATCTGCCCGTTGTGGGCGTTGCGTTGTTGCTGTTAGTGGCGCCGTCGTCGCTCTCGCTGTTGCTGCTGCTGCTGCTGCCGCGACGCGCGTTGCTCGTTTCTGGTTGCTCACCCGTCGGCGAACGCGAGGCTACTAAACTTGTTGGCTTTGGCTTGAAAGCACTGCTGGCCATTTGTTGATGTTGCTCTGGGTATTGCTGCTGCTGCTGCTGGTGCTGCTGCTGCTGCAGCGAGTTGGCAGCTCGCATTGGACTGGCCAGCGTTTCCAGGCTCCGGCCCGCCGTTCCATAGCCCGAGGTGCTCGAGGACGAGGAGGAGGATATGGTGGAGCAGAGGGACTGCGTCATCAGTGATCCCAGCGAGGCACTCAGCTCCGGTGCCGAGGACTTGAAGCCACCCAGTCCGCGCAAGCGCTGCGGCATTGGCGGCGGAGTGGTGGGCAGTTGTTGGTAGCTCTTGCTGGTCACCGGCGGCGTTGCATCGAACATGTTGCCACTGGCCGCCGCAAACTGCTGCGAATAGGCGGCAACTATGGCGGCAAATTGCTGTTGGTGACCGGCCGCCTTCCACAGTTGCTGCAGACTGGCGGCCAGCTGCTCGTCCTGTTCCAGGAGTGGATTGGGCGACACCTCTGGCCAGTTGGGATAGGCAGCCATGGGCACTGGTATGGGCACCGGCACGGGAATGGGCACGTACTGCGGTTGCTGCTGCTGCTGCTGCTGGCCGGGATTGCAGCTGCATCGGTTGTGGCTATGGTGGTGGTGATTCTTCAGGAATCGCGTCTTAATCCGGGTCTTCATGCTGAGCGGATGTGGGGGTGGTGGCACGGGTGGTGGTGTTTGATCGGAGCTGGTCTGCGAACTGCTTTCGGTGTGCAGCACAAACTCCTCATCGGTGCCGGTGTCACTCTCCCTGATCCTGGGACAATAGCTGCTCCTGGGCTGCTGGGCTCGTCTTTGCACCTGGGGAGAATCGCTATCGCTCGACTGACGCCTCACTCGCGGCGGTGGAGTGGGCGTGGCTCGGGCCGTGGTATAGGCAATCATGGTAGTGGTCGTGGTCGTGGTCGTGGAGATCATGGAGGGCTCAAAGTAATCCCAATCGCAGTCCTCCACATTGCTCACAATGCTGTGACAGTGGTGCGTGGAGCAGGACGAGTCCGTGTCATCCTCCTCTCCGTCCTCCCCGTCTTCCCCGTCCTCCTCCTCCTCCTCTTCGCCGTGGCAGGACGATGATGAATCCGAGTTGAGAAAGACGAGCTTGAACTCGTCCGCTTCAACGCTGTATTGCGACTGCTGCTGCTGGCGTCCGTGTTGAGTGGAACACCTGAAGTCCAGCTCCGATGACGACGAGGTTTCCATGGCATCGCCCCCACCTCCAAGTCCACCGATATCAACGGAAACCACGGACAGCTGCTGCCCATTGCCTGTGGAGTAGCAGGGATGAAGTTTCGGGCGCATAAGTTCGGAGACAACCACATTGTCGTTGACCAACACCACGAAGCGGTACGCAAATACTGGTTATTAGCACCACACAAATACACACAGGTGAAATACTGGTTAGCTGGAGGGTGAGTTTTTCCACACCTCAGTTAGAGGTTGCACATGGGTTAAGCACACGAAGCGGCGGTGGTTGAACGAAAACTTACGGCTAGCATGGGTTAAGCTTGGATGGTTACACCGAAATACCACAGATATTAATAGATACCAAGGCTAGAAAGGAGTGTAAGTCATTCTATCAACCCCAGCTTAAAGATTCCTATCAGGGCTATGTAATTGGGTATGAACCAGTTTGTTAGGTGTCTAGTGCACAGCTTGTTTAAAAAGTATCTCTACTGCGAATCGATATTAAGTTCTTTCACTGATATAAACAGTATATTTGATAGCCCAGTACCGGGTTGTATAACTTGCCCATAAATATGTGCTGTTTATAATCGAGCGATTGAAGTACAAAACTTCACACAAATGCTTAACTTAATGATGAACGATCGTAATGATAATCCAGTTCTTAATACACACATGCAAAGAAAAATGTGCACCTTTATAGTAAAAACATTTTAATAGATTATATCCAAGATTATATCAAGTGTATCCTTTGATTTATACAACACCAATAGTTTCGCAAGAGTTTGATAAAAAGAAACCCATATCCACAGTCTTGACATACAAGACCAAAAAATCCACTTCCCATTAAGTTCAGAACTCGGGAAAATCATTAGTGCTGCGAGGCTTGATAACCCATGACCTTGAGTAAGTGAACTTGATCCCGACTAATATTAAATGTACCGAAAATCATTTCCCCTGCTGTTCAAGTACCCATCCTGTCAGGAAGCAGTTCAAAGGCCCTTGATTGATTATGGTTGTTTGCCACAAGCTTTCCTGGCCAAGACATGGACTAGCGAAAATTTGGCAAAAAGCTTTTAAAGTTGCCAACATCGTCGTCCTTCAACCCCTTCCGCTTGGATGGTTGCCCAAACAAAAACTGCAACAGCGGATGCACAAGCGTCAATCCCTCGTAGCTACAAAGTAAACATTTGATCGTTGCCCTCCCTGCTGCATGAGGCACATTTTTTATCTGCTCCAGACACTGCGAGAAAGCTCTGAAGGAGAGTCTTCAAAATTGGTTCTACAATTGGTTCTTGCAACTACTACTACATGAGTTTTCGGTTCAGTTGTAAAGCACTTTAACTAATTTTTAAGTCAATCTCAAAATAATCGAACGTTGCACTATTTGTTCTGGGTGCTCAAAACTCGTTGCCTAAACGCAAACTCCGCGCCGTTTTAGCCATTCACAGAGCAAAACCCACGTAGGAGCACAAAGAGGCAGGAGATAAGACTAATGCCACAGTTCTGCCGCCGTGCGTGGTCCAAAAATCCAGCGGTGCCAGGGGGCTTTGGTGTGTACGTGGGCACCGACAGCACAAGGACTCGGATTCTGGAAGGCGGATCCTTCGAGGCGACAGTCGACCACATCTCGAATTCGCAAATAGACACACGCTGCGTTGGTGGTCCCAAAACCGAACAGCCACAAAACGCCAAATTGAAACATAACAAAAGGCGGCCAGGGCGTTTGGATACCCTGCTTTCCGCGCGGAAAATCCCCCGAAAACTCTTGAAGTGCGTTGGGTGGGTGGCGGAAAATCGATTTATGAGTTGCCAAAAAATTATCCCGCCAGCCCACGGCAAGGTTTTTCTATGTTGTTTCGGTCCCGTGCCACAAAATCTTTTGAACCCCGCCAACTTTGCTTTTAAATTTGGTTCTTCGGCCGTTTGTGGTCAGGCCGCCTATAGCTTCAGGGAAAATTTAAACAAATGCCGTGGAGCAGGCGAAAATTGAAGGAATACTTTTAGGAACTCGAAAGAGAAGTAAGCGAGAAAAAGTGTTGCACTCTTTTCGGAGCCGGTTCTTAAAAAATTGATGAGGAAGAAGGTTTCCTAAAAGGACCTGACCCTACCCTATATTCCACGTAGTTTCCAAGTATATCGAATCTCTGAAATCCGTAAATATCGAAGCTGCTGTTTTAACATAAGGCATGTAAATTAATATAAATGCTTAATACCATTAGTACAACTAGTTTGCAATGATGAAAATTAATAGGATTAGTTTGTTAGTCAACTCCTCCTTCATTAAGGTGATATAGTACAGGGCAACTGCTGGTTAAGCACTAATTTTTCGACATTGCCAACCCAAGAAGCGCCCACCTTTATTCCCAGAAGTGGAGCTTAATTATTTGAGCCAAATTAGACTGAAAGCGAAGCCCTTCACTAAGAGTTTGTTAGTCACCCAGGCTACCCATCACCATCCTCTATCCGCATCGGCATCAAAAGTAGCATCAGTACGGGCATTAGCATTACCATCACCAAGTTAATTACGCTCCCAAACATACATTTAGCTACACAAAGACAACTACTGAGAAAAAGTCTTGGCAATTGAAGTTCACACTTTAAAATACCCGTTCAGATAGAATGCATAGAATGTATTTGAATGAAATGCCGGAAATTTCCCTCATGACGATAGACTTTCCAAGCGAACTTTTCTTTTGACTTCCCATGGACTTTTCTCCCAGTGCTTTAGTGTAAGGACAGCTATTATCACTAACCTTCTTCGGCGGCCTTCTCCTTCTCCTTGCGACGTTGCAGCACGACCTTCTTGAAGACAACCGCCGCGGCCTCCACTGCATTCTGCAGCTCCTGCTCGCCCAAAGTGCTGGTGTGGGTGGCTTCCTAATGAAGGAGGTGGGTGGAGGATGAAAAGGTTTCCCGCTTAAGCCCACTGGTCTCCGGGCGCTGGATGTGCTACTCACCGCCGAGCTGTGCGGATCGCCGCCCTCCTTGTTGGCCGAGGACTCGAGGGACTTGCCATTGAGCGGCTGCTCCGCTCCGGATCCTTGCCCGGATTCCCCTGGGGGCTTCTCCTCGTCCTGCCCTGTGGATGCTACTGAGGCGACAGGAATTTCTGTTTTTTTCAGGCGCATGGCTAAATCAGAGTTTCTATGCATAAGCTGTTGATGGAAGGAGTAAATGTGCTGGGGCGTGCTACCTGTGGGGGCGGTTAACAGGAGGGGGTGCAAAGCGTTCATCAATCGGGTGCCGAAACAAGCGCAGCTACTCAAGGTTCTACCAGGGACCGCAAAAATTAATTAATTAATTCGTTCATTAGCCGTAAGTCACAGTTATGTTACTTATGCGCAGGCAAACACTACTTGGGGGGCTGTGGATGGGGCTACTTCTTTGTATAACGTGTACAAATTTAGGTCACTAAGCACAAATGGATGTTTATTCGTTTGCGGTTCGTTGCTTCAAAATATGTATTTAATTATCTGTTTTAAGTGTACAATTATGTTGATCTACTGACTACGTAAATTTAATATACCTGTTGATAAAACAGACATCGAACAAAAAATATACAATTTAGCAAATAAAGAGCACAACTATAATAACTTGATGGTAGTTTAGCTTAAGCGAGGGACTGAGTTAAAATTTATTTTGTAAAGTGCAATGTACATTTTCTACATAATATTTTTATATATTAATACAGGTAACTAGCTACACAATATTGTTTACCTCCTTCGGTTTTTTGTGTATATTCTCGATGACAGTGAGCGATTGTTATGGCTTAAGTTTTGTGAATGCAAATGATAGGTGCTTGTGAAATAACTGATAATAATTGCGGTCCCTGGATTCTACGGATGCGTGATCGCAGAATGCAACCATAGCTACTATCAAAAGTGATATATCCTCGGCACTTACCCTCCTCAGCCTCGCCGATCCCAGTGCGGCTATTGCGGCGCCTCGCCTGCGGAATCTTCGAGTTGCCCCGCGTTTTATCCAGGATGTCGGCCAGAGGACGAGGGCTGGGTATTTTCGATACCTCCGCTTTCTTTGTGGGCTGTGCGAAAATTGATGTATATTAATGAACTTTCAGCTAGATCAAACTGTGAGGTCAACCCACCTGAGTGTCCTTTTCGGGATGCGAGAAGGATCGCCGTGTGACGGGCTTGGGTGTGGTCTTCGCTCCAGAGTCCTCTGAAACAGAGCGCATCTGCTCAGGCTTTCGTCTCTCGGTAGCATGGCTATCGGTGGCACCTCCACTGCTGGAGGCGCCTTCACTGCCAGAACCTTTGCCATTCGCATCCGAGACCTGTGAGAGCTGGGCCAGTTCCTCCTGCTGCATCTGCAGTTCCCTGGATTGCCGCCGCCGCAGGCGATTGTGCATTAGAGGAGTACGGGGTAAAGCAGCTCCGCCATAGAAGCCCTGCGGAGTTCCCATGTCGGGATAATAGCCGGGCACTCCACCTGAACCGCCACTGGCGCCCAGTCCCACGCCCGCTCCTCCCCCGTAACCCGAATCAGCCAGGACATTCTCGGCACTGTAAATCGGTCTCTGGGACGAGTTCTGGTAGCTTCCATCATCCGATCCATTGTTGTAGATGATGCGCGGCTCACTGCTGAATCCGGCATTATAGTTTCGCTCGTACTGCACCTCGTCGGACTCCAAGAAACTGGTGGCACTGTCACCAAAGTAATCCACGTACTCCGGACGATTATCCAGCTCCTCAGTGACATCGGGAAACTGATGGAACTGCTGCTTGGCCTCCCCGAAAGTTCTTTCCTCCTTCAGGCAATCCTGGCGCACCAGGCGACTGGGTGATCGACCACCGGGCCGCTGCACAGCCGTTGGGATCTCCGGCAGCAATCTTCGGTTCTCCGGGTGTCCCTTGGTATTCGAGTACTCCTCGTTGCTGTGGCTGCGCACCTTGATCATCTTGGAATGCGGATCACGGGAGTGATGGATGTTCACACTCTGACTACTGGAATAGTGCTCACCACCGCCGACACCGCCGGTGCTGGCCACACTGCCTCCGCTTCCCAACTCGGTGCCACCCACGGCGGGCACATGTGGCTGCGAGAGAAATTGCCGGGGATTCGGAACACTTGGGAAGAGGAAATTCTGTTTGGCCCTCGGCGAAATGGGCATGAATTTTGCAGGAGGAGTAGAGTGCACTGTGAGTGTGTTTCCACTGCTAAAGGCTTCCGGATTTGGCAGAGTTTGCTGACGCATGAATTCCGGAGAACGTCGAAATTGCGGGGAAGTCTGTCGCTTTGGCGGAGATGTGGGCAGTAGCTTGACATGCTGATCGGGATTTGGTAGAGTTGCCTGCCGCGTCATTCTCGGCTTGGGCATGGGTCCCACATCCTGCTCGTCGCTGGCCAAGCTGGACGCTTGTGATTCGTAATTCAGGGGTGGTGGCGCCACTGTCGGCGGAGGTGCTCCCGTGCTGGGCAGCAACTTGGTGCGATGATAAGTGCTGGGCGGTTCTGGGAACGAGGTCTGCCTCATGAAGGGCGGATAGCGCTGCTGCTCACCCGGCGATCTTTCCGGGGAGCGACTGTACAGCCGGTTCGGGGAAGTGGACATATATATAGCCGGAGTTGGTTGAGCTGGCAGCGTGGACTGGCGGCGCACCTGGAGCCGATGATGCGTGGGTGTGACCTCCAGTTGGGGTTGCTGTTGCTGTTGCTGCGGCAGCTGCTGCTGCTGCTGCGCGTAGTTGTCGCAGTCACCCACCGTCACACCAACTCCCACTCCCATGCCCGGCATGGTGTTCATGTGGATGACGTCGTCGCTGTTGTAGGCGCTCGGGTAGAGCGGACTCTTCTGCAGCTGATGCGGCGATGTGGGCGCCGTTAGATTCACTGAATTGTAGTTGGCCAGATTGCCACCGCTGCCGCTGAGAGCCGGGTCGTTGTTCAGGCTACTCGGAAGCGTCGACTGACGCAGGACCCTCCGTCCCAGCTGCCACTTGCTGCTGGTTGTGGGCGTGGCAGTGCCACTTCCGTAATTGATGCCGTGCGTGGGTCGCGGCTGCGGGGGCAGGTGGTGCTGCTGGTGGTGCTGGTGCAGGGTGGGGTAGCTGCCAGCGGACTGTGCCTCAATCAGATGCTGCTGCTGCGGATATAGGTTGTCCGCCACCGGCTGTTGTGAGTTGGGATTGTTCGGATCGTCCTCGGGATCTGTTGTGGTGAAGGATTTTCAATTACCACTCTAACTTTCTATCAATTTTTAGAAAAATCGACTTGGTATATCTATGGAGCACTTTAAACTCATTTTAAGTGGTTGATCTCTTCTGTGCGAAGACTGTTAAAAAATGTACTTATGAAGTGGTATAATCCTTGATGCAAATGCTCAATCAAAGGCTCTAAACTGCACAGAACTGCTTGCTGTACTCACTCGATATGGTCCAAGAACGCCGGATGCTCTTCCTCAAGACGTCGCTGGTGGTCAGATGGTCGACGGCACTGCAGGATCCCAGGGCATAGGCGTCCTTCAGCCACTCGCCGCTGGCCGATTGTATCTCCCTGCAAGAGCAACAACATTGCCACTTTAGAAACCAGAAAACCTCGCCAAACATTTCCCCAACTTTCGTTGGAGACGTCAAACAGTCAACAAGTAAATCGGCGAGTCAGTGGAATCACGTCTGTCTGACTTCGCGACATTTGGCAGACTGGCTGGCTGACTTGTTCAAACGAGCACTGAACGCCGGATTGCCTGTGACACAGCGGCAGCAACATGGAACGTGAAACACCAACACACACCATGGGTTTAAGCCAAGGTGTGAGCCATCGGAAGAGTTAAAGCCAGCATACACTGGCTTGGGTTTGCACAAACAGACAGAAATGTATTTTTGGGGAAAACTCTGCCAGTGAAACCACAACGGAGAAGTTTGGGGCTCAGATACCAATGAAATAATTACATTTAATGAATAAGACAAACTTCAACCGGAAGTTGGTCCTGTTTATGCTTAACTTTAATCTCCCGCTGGAGTTTTAAATAAAATTAAAAGTTTGCTCAAATAACCATACAGTGCGTTATAAATAAATACGATTTCCGTATAATTTTAATAGCAGTACTGAGAAAGTTATACAGAACTAAACTGCAGAGGTAGTTTTAATTTCCAGGAACTATATAATTGAAAAAGCTTTTGTTTAATTTAATTGACTTCCTAGGAAGATAAATTCGCCTTTCTTTTTAAGCAAATATTAATTTATATTTCACCAGAAAAGCTTCTTTGCGAGATAAAAACGTATTTAATAATCCACTTCTCAATATATACCATTTAAGTAATTGCAATTAAGAGTACTGGTGAGATAACAATTCAGTGTCTGGGCAGAAATTCATGGAATATTTGTATATCTTCGGCCAGACACTGTGCTTTTGTGGCTCACTTGGGGGTGCAGTCCAGCCAATTGGATGAATTCCCGCTGAGCGGCAGACGCAAATGCAGACGCCCTCCATCGAAAAAAGGGGCTGGGCCATCGCAGCCGTCATCATGTGGCATTCATAATTATCCAGCAGCTGCAGCAGACGCGGCCAAATTTGGTGTGCGTCATGCGTGTTGACAGGCGTGAAATCGCTGCCACCTGTAGGCGACCTGCCTTATTCTCGGCTCGAGCAATCGACGTGTACCACACGGCGTTCATAAGTACACAGCAGTTTGGCCTGCAGCTGGCGACGAGTTGGCCAAGATTTAATTACTCAAATGTCTGCGTCTGTGGCCTTGCCAACTCAATACGGGCATTTCTCAGCTGGGGAGTTTCTGTGTTTTTTGGGGCCTGGGCTCGCCCATTAACACTGAACCTTTCGTGTGTGGGTCGCTGTCTCATCAGAGGCAATTGTTATGTTGCCAAATGTTGGCACAAACCGAGAGCTGCTGATGCTGTGGTGACACAGGGCGTATGCGCAATGTGTGGGGCTGCTCATGTTTATGCTGCCAAAATTGGGCCAGAACACATAGTGCAGCTCATTAAACGGCCCGGGTACTTGTTGACAGTTTGCTGCCGTTGGTTGAATGAACACGTTTCGGTTTTGGGCGGACATTTTGGACTCCTTCGAGCTGCCTTATTGCAAGGTTATTTAATGCATCATGGAAAGCTCCTTTTTGCCACTGAAATTATGCCCATTGGATGGCTTGACGGGCAGGCACATGCAAATTGGGTTTTTAAATGAAATTTCTGTTCACGAACACGAGTGTGCATTTAAGCCACTTCGCATCACAAATGGGCCATCAGAAGGGCAAAGCAAACACGACTAGCTGAAAACAAATAGCTGCAAATATTCAAAACTGCCAAGGCAACAGAAACGTGCAACGGAAAATCTGCCGCATCAGTTATGCGGAGTTTCAGTTGACAGCCTGTGACACCTGATGCCCACGGGTTGAAATGGAAAATAAACAAAAGAACCATTTCTATCACCTTGCAATGCCAATAAACCTTTTCCTAGAATTATTCTGGACAAATGCAAGCGAGAGATTTTGTCTCTGTCCGTATGCAATTCCACACTTTGTTGATTCATCTGGCCCAAAAGGCTTTGGGTGACAATTTTGGCGACACAAAGCAACCGAAAGGGCATGCAAAATTAGCTTGCAACGTTGAATATTGCAACGTATGTGCTACAAAGTCCAATGGAAAACAATTGGCAGTTTTGTTAAAGGAACCTCGACAGCAAACTACCCTAAACTAGGAGTAAGCTACTGGTAACGTTGCCTATTTTTCTGCATTCTAAATAAAAGTATCTCCTTCTTTAAGATCAATTCACGTCATTTACAATTACATAGCTAACTTATACTATTAGAATGTCCTTTACAGGGTATTCCACCACCACGTAGGCAATCATGCGCCGGCATGAGCACAAGGACACAATGTAATGTTTTGTATTTTAGCTGGGTTTTCGTGTGCGTGAGTTGAATAGTTTGGTCGCATCCACAGAGTTTTGTGAGTTTTTAGTTGGCAATGAAAGTTGGACAGACGTATAGATGGATAGAGAGAGGAGCAACAGATACAGATACAGATACAGACAATGGGAGTGACAGGGACACACTTACATTTGCTTGTGGCACACCACGCACACCCAGTCCGTGGTGCGCGATGTGAATTCGCGACAGGCTTTGCACACGCGCAACTTGCAGACGCGACAGGGGGCGCCACGGTTGGTGATGCGACCCAGTTCGGTGGTGCAGCGGGCGCAGTGGCGACTCGGGTCGCTCGTGTGTGCGTTGTGGTTGTTGTGTTGTTCGAGCTGTTGTTGTTGTTGACTGGGCTGCATGGTTGTCTGTTGTTGATGTGGTTGTTGTGTGGCATCGAGTGGCTGCACTCCACCAACGACCTTGGCCGCACCCTTGCGCCTCAAAGCATACAATTCGGCGCGCAAGAGCCTGTTGTTGTTGAAATTCGGTTGGAGTTGTTGTTGAAATTGTTGTTGGAGTCATTGTTGTGGTGCGGTGTTTGTTGTTGAAGTTGTGGTTGTAATTACAGCGATGGTTGTTGAGGTCGTTGTTGTTGAAATTGTAATATGTATTTATGGGAGTGTTTTCAATTGTTTTTTATTATGGGTTTGTTGTTGCGTGTAGTTGTTTAAATTACAGGAGTTGTAGTGGTTTTTGTAGTGGGTCGGTTAGGGAGGTTTTGGTTTTTGATTCCGGGTTGATAACATAATTACATGACAGACGCATAGACAGTTTTGTTAGATTGTTGGTTAAGAAACGAAAACACGTTACAAAAAGTTAACATGACATTTTGCGACAGTCAGGCAAGGAGCGAGCGAGAGGGGAAAAGCGTGAGAGATAGAGAAAGCAGCAAGCGTGTTTGGTGGTTTTTCGGTTTCGGGTGTGAGTGTGTGTGAGTGCGTGATGTATGTGTAATTAAATGGAAAGAGACAAAGAATAAAAAGAGCACACAAAAACTTGTCATTAGTTGATTTAGTAGCAATTTAATCGATTTTCGAATTTAATTTTGGTTAATTTAGGTTAGATTGATTGTTTAAGGCAACAGTTTCACATGCGCGTTGTTTTTATAAAATTAATTGATATGATTAGCCATGAGACAATAAGTCAATTAAATTTGTTGCAGCAGGGTGTGCACAAAATTGAAGCTTAATCAAAAATAAATCAAAAATATGAATGCATATACTCTTGTGGCAGTTTGACATATGGAGTTTGAGTTTTTATTGTCATTGGGAAAAGCGTGAAAAGCTTCTAACTGCAGCTCCTATTCCATATCTTCGCCTAACAAAACTTACAAATAATGTAAAAATGTATATTTTAATTTTATGAATATGTAAAGTTCATTTGATTTCATAATCTGTAAATCGAAGACGAATGATGAATTTGAAACTATTTAATTAGAATTCCAAGGACATACACCCAAGCTCACTAATTTCATTAGTTTTGAGCTGGACAATGTTGCTTAATTAAATATCCCTTCCCGGAATCCCAAATTATGCAAATAGCGCACATGCAGCCGAAAGTTGGCAGTCCAATTAAATCGGCAATCAAACGTAAGTCGATGTCCGGTTGCCAAATTAAGTTTGAGGTCCCCCATGTCCTGCCCCAATCTCTCGGGATTTTCGGATATTTGGTGTCCTCACCGCTGTTGTGTAAGCCGGTTGCTTAATATTAACGTCCAACTGGCAGGCGAGAGCTATAAAACATGGCCAAGACCTGCTGACACATAAAACAAACACATGGCTGCCTACAGTGGCAGCAATATGAGTATCACAAAAGAGTCTGTCCGAGAACGTGAATAAATCGAATTCATTCTTGGGTAAGTCAAATATAAAAACCCTAAATCAAAAAAACCCTAAACCCCAACGAATGAATGAATTTATATAAAACTTTTATTTTAGTTCTATTATTTTGGCCTCAGCTGTAGGCAAGTGCGATGATGCGATGTGTCGGTAAAGGAGTCACGCAGAGCGCATAAAAATCCGAACAGGACTTTGGTTTCTGAGTAAATTATGTTGCCAGCAGGCTTGGCAAGAACACTTTTTAATTATAATTTTATCTGCATTCGGGCATCGTGATTGAAGTGCGTGCAAGCTTTATTAGCGTCACAAAATCAGTAAACGACAAGCGGCAACCACAGGGCCTAGTGAAGCAGCCCTCCAAGCGGCAGGAAGCGGAAACGAAACCCAAAACCGAGGCCAAGCCAAAACTGTTGCATACTCCTAGGAGCACAAACACAGCGAAAAGAGCACTACAATGGTGAACTAACCACATACCACAAAACCCACGGCCGGGGACATGTTTTATTGGCCTGGTTAACGCATAAAGTCTGCACCCACCGCCAAACAGCAAAGGCACGCTGGTTTTCGGCATCGCACTGAAAAAAGTCAGTAGCTTCTTTCAAACTTGTACATGCGAGTTCCAGAGTTCAATGTTGAAAAAGTGGCCAAACGAACATTTATTTTGAATTCAACTAATCAAAACATTCCCCGATGAGGTATTTAATTTACTAAATAGAATTTATCGATTACGCACTGCATTGAAAATTTTAATCAGAGTTCAACGAGCGAGATATTCCAAATATTTTTGCAATGTTTTAAACTGATTCCAATTATTCACTTAAAGGACTTTCCTCTGTTCGCCGTGTAGGCGTGCTCATGCCTAATGTGCCATCTGTTGGCATGTCAGGTTGGCATATACGTCGAGATGTGGCAATGGAAGTGTTCACAGACGCATGTTCAAGTGCCCGGTGCTGGTGTAGTAATAGTTGTAGCTACACGACCAGCACGGCTGCGTTATGAATTAATAATCATAATAAGCCATTAGGGCGGGCAGCACGAGCAGCAGGAGCAGCAGGAGCGGCAGAAACGGGCTGCCAAAAAGTGCTAACTGTAATGGCCATAAATTCACAGTGACCATGAAAGTGGTGCAAAGACCTGGCTTAGCCGACAGCCTTTGTTGTGTGGCGGCGGAACAGTTTTTGGTCAGAATATGATTAAAAACCCTAACATGGCCTAAACAAATAACGTTACGTATGTTTCCCAATGTCCTGGCGCCCAAATTCTCCGCTCTGCGGGCTTATGCAAATAAGCAACTAATTAAACTGATGTAAATCAGCTGCGTCCTTCGTTTGGGAGCCGGATGGGGTACCCATTTTGGACGCTTGGACGCCTTGCCGTGTGACCTTTTGGTTCAGATCGAACACCTGGTCCCATGGCAAGCCATCGCCTGATGGTTTATTAGATATCAAAGGAGAGATAACATTTTCCGAGTCCTGCCGTGGCGCTTTGATGTTGCCTTGGGCAGCAGACAACAGGCAAATAATTCGCTACTTTTCGGGCTTACTGCTAATGCAATTGGTCTGTGTTTGGGTCTGACTTCAAATGCCGTGGATTTGGTTTGGCCAAAAAAGTTAGGATTACAATTATGTACACAAAAGGGCTATAGATGTTAAATTCTTCAAATAATTTTGCTAAAGTAAGTGAATGCTAAAAGTGAGATATATAGTTTTCTTAGGCACAACCTATAAATTGATTTTTTAAGTCTTGTTATATACAATTAGTAAGTTCGCTGTAAGCGATTTGGTTTTAATCCAATAAAATAAACCAATTCAGCCAATAGAAAATATTATTATAAAAAGAAATCGTGAATATTCCGAATCAATTGCACGTATTCCTATCTAGCTACTTTCAGTGTTTTGGCAGCCAAATTTTTATGTAACACCTAGAAAATATTTAATTGGTCAGGTATTTTAAAGCTTTGCAGCTGTTCATATTTCCACAAGGGAAATGATTGGCCACTCTCTCGTCTTTCCCTGTGTTTTCCCCCTAGAATTCCCACTGAAATATGCCATAATTCAAATCATTCCCGACCACAGTCAACGCCACTGGCCGTTGGCAGCCCCGGCTTGTCCATTAGATTTACGATTTTAATGACGCCCATTCCTGGCGCTGATGTGCCAGAGAATGCGAATATAAATAATTACCAGGCTAAATATGATTTGTCGGGGCGTCTGGAGTGGACTGCTGGCTACTAGATGCTGGATGCTGGATGCTGGATGCCGGATGCTGGAAGCTGGTTCTTGGATTTCGGATGCAGGGGGCAAGAGCAAGGACAATGGCCAGTAGCTAAGGCGATGGCCATGATGCCGTGGGGCTCGCGTTTCCGTTTCAAATTAAAACTTTTTGACAGCATTGCGGGCCACATAAAAAAAATGGATACCAAACTTGAGACAGCCAGAGGGCATGGCATTTAAAATGTATCACAGGTGCTTTAGTTTAAAGCATTCAGACTCGACCGGCTGAGCACCGGAAATGGCCTGCCATTTGTGCGCCTTTTAATTATGCAATGGACGACAAAATGGCGTCACTCGACGGAGCGTGTGCATGTGTGGGTGCAGGTAAGTGCTTGAAAATGTTGTTAGTTTTAATTAATTTTAAATGGCAGAGGGCTAAAACACGGTAATCGTCCTCAGCACGCAACCAGCCAAATATAACTAATAAACCTTCGTGGTTTCCATGTGCAGCGTTTTGCACTTATGCAGTTTGTTAAGCTTGTAAATTATCCGCTATGTCAGTTGACTTTTGTTTCCGCCACAAAACAGCTTTGCACACAGAAACGTGTTGCCGTGCCGACGAATACGGTGGGAAAATCAAATTAAATGCGAATTTTGTTGAATTTAAAGCACTCGCCACACGTGTCGTATGCTTAATGGGCCAGGACCATAAACCTAAATAAACGTTCCTCCCTTTCCGTTCTTTTCCCGTTTTTTTCTGCACACATGTACAAGTATGTGCTCAGTTTTGCCAAGAGTTTTCAGGCATGTGGATTGTAAGCCGGTGGATACATTTTATTAAATGCCTCGCAACACCCCAATGGTTGAAAGTAAAATGTTGCCTTGTAAGAGGAGGTAAAATTAAATTTAATTTTTAATTGACGAATTACAATTTCTAAGCTGTAGATATCCAGAGTTTTTATGAAAACGATTCCTTACAAAAGGAAATAACTTTAATTTCGATGCTGTTGCGGCCAACTCAACCCTCTCCAGTTCTTAAATTTCGATTTGACACTGATAACCGGGCAAGGGACAGACATGGGTTTCTTCAGCCCTCAGCTGGGATCCAGCATTTACATAATTACAAAACGGGCGAGACGGGGATCCGGAGGATGAGGTGTCCCGGCACGGAGTACATTGACATCTAAGCAGGCGACAGACAATGGGCCATATGCGAAACTTTATTTCTGTGCTGGCCATGTCTCAAAGTTAATGGTTGTCTCCCTTTTCAGCGGTTTTCCCCAGAGTTTACATTAGCTTATGGCCCATAAGGCAACGTTCTCAGCCGGCTTAAGTGGCCATCTGAAGATGAATGATAGTGCGTAGGACCACAGGCCACAGGCAAGGCATTATGTAAGCCCTTTTGCTGGTAATTAAG